ACCAACAAATAAAAATAAATAATAAAGGAAAAGGCTGGGGGGTGAAGCTCACATGGTAGATCACTTTCCTAGCAAGCACCGAGTTCAGCCACCAGTGCCACCAAAAAAGCAGGGATGGTAGACCCAGGACCTGAGCACAGATCTGATTTCAGAGCCTATGTCTACAGACCTGTGTCTGCATCTGCCCTCTATACATCTGCCTTATATTGATTGTAGCCTTTAGGGAGACATGTCTTCCTTGTCTTTCTGTACTAGGGCATCTTAAGAGGTCAGTAGATAGATGTTGGAGGAGGGAATAAAGAAGACAGGAGCATTCAGACTGCCAGGAAGGAGATGGGATTCCATTTAAATTTCAGTTAGCCTGACCTACTAACCAGAGGTAGACTTGGTAGCTGTGAGGGAACAGGGGAAGGAAGAGATTTTTTTTTTTTAAATAGAGAAGAAACTAATGACTGAAAGTAAACCTGACTGAAGGTAGACCATCTTAGGCTCTCTGCAGATGGGATTTTGTTGTACTCTTTTTTTTTTGGGGGGGGGTGCGCAGGGGGCGGGTAGAGCCAGTCCTGGTGCTTGAACTCTGCCTGGGCACTGTCCCTGAGCTTCTTTTCTCAAGGCTCTAGCACTCTACCACTTGAGCCACAGTGCTACTTCTGGCTTTTTCTGTGTATTTGGTACTGAGGAATCAAACCCAGGGCTTCATGCATGCTCAGCAAACACTCTCCCACTAGGCCACATTCTCAGCCCTGTTGTACTCTTAAAAGCCATCGCACCCCCATTAAACTGAGACAACACTTAAATGACTTGAGACAGAGCCTTGAAGCTACAGTGATGAGAAGTGTGGCCCTGAGCCGCCACCACCCCACCCCACCCCACTCCACGTCCCGGCAGGTCACAGGAAGAAGGGCAGGGCCACAAAGGGCCATGTAGAACCAGACAAGGAATTCGAGTGGGAATAGGGTAGGGAGCAAGTTAAGACTGAGTCAGGTATGCTGGGAGTGGGGTTGATGAGCTAGAGAAAAGAAGAGTGAGCAGCTGTAGCAGGGAGAGATCAAGCCGTCCAGGGAAGCAGAATCACTTATCCTAGCATCTCAGCCTTCATTCGCTCCTTTGGGACATAGAGAGACCCAGAGGCTGACTGTCAGGCCAACAGGAGGAGATTACAACTGCCTTCTGGGGAGCAGCACCAAGGAGAGGTGAGCCGAGGACACAGGCCCTGCAAGCACCCTGTCCCCCATTCCTCCCTGCCAGGTTCTCCCAGATGGTCCAGGACAAGCCCCTGCGCACCTCCTGGCAGCGGAAGATGAAGGAGCGGCAGGAGAGGAAGCTGGCCAAGGACTTTGCCCGCCACCTGAAGGAGGAGAAGGAGAGGCGCCGGCAGGTGAGGGTCCAGTGCAGCTGAGGCTGGAGCTTCAGGGGCTGAGTGCAGGTCTGCCGAGCCAGACTCAGACCCGGGGACGAGACACTGCCTTGACCTGCTGTCATTCAAGGAACCCCTTCCACTCTCACCCCGCTCAGAGCCACAAATGTGTCATTGGAGCCCACACTCAACAAGGGGTGCCAGCCAGGGCCGTGTGGGAGCGAGAAGGGTGCTCAGCAGGCCATACCTGGAGGAACTACGGTAGTGTGACCTGGGCCAGGCTTAGCCAGGGACACTGTGCTTCTAGTAACCCTCCAGTACAGGAGGAGCACAGAGCTGGAGTCTGCAAGCTGTCCCAGGCTCGTGGTCCCAGCCTGGCCACTGAGAAAGAGGGTGGAGCAGTTACTTAGCCATCCACCCCTCGCTTCACATCACCCCAGCGCAGCCCGGGGCTGAGGTCCTAGGCTAGAGTGTAGCCGCCCCTTGTCCTGAGGCCCTGTCTTTCTTCCTGTGTAACCTAGGCTCTATCTTGGCTAAGACAGCTGCCTTCCCATCAGCTGGGGAGAGGTGCACCTGCCCATCCCTTCCCTGGACCCCACAGGGGCCCAGGTTCCCTTCTTTCTCACCGAGGACCCAGGCTGCCTCTGTAACCCTGGGGCGCCACAGTCCCCACCCCTGGGGCAGCCCTGCCTGAGAACAGACACAGCATAGCTGAAATCCCCTGTCTTCCTGCTATCAAAGCAGACTCCAGCTGGTGTTGCTAGAGACCCAGGACTGTTCCAGGCCCTCACTTGTGTTTATCCACTTAGTTCTCAAAACAGCCTAGAGGTAGGAACAGTGGTCATCCTCACGTGGAAGGTGGGAAAGTTAGCCATAGCTCCCTGATTAGCACATAGCAGACACATACTCAGCCCTGGAAGTGCATATCCCACCAGAGCCTCTCTCCATCTGCCCTGGGAACCGGACCACTGAGAAATGGCTGCAGCAGTTACTTAGCCACCTACCCCCTTGCTTCAATCACCCCAGGTGAGTCTGGGGTTGAGGTTCTAGATTGGAGTGTGGACACCCCCTTGTCTGAAGGTCTCCCCTCCAAGCTCACCCCATCCTGGCCGTGCCTGCTAGCGGGCCCATGGCCTGGGGAGAGGAAGCCTGGGCAGGTGGGGTGAGGGAAAGCCCAGCCCTTCCCCTTAGCAATGGGAGGGCTGGGTATGTACAGGTATGTGTTCTTGGATGCGTGGTTCGCAGGCTGCAGCCACCACATCCCAGCCCCTCCTCAGCTGCCCATCCACATGCCCACTTGGTGATACAGAGTGAGGAACTTTCCACCGTGGTGGTTAGATGCCAGGGCCACAGCACAGATGACGCCCCTGGCCCCTTCACAAGCTCCCATGCTCACACCAGCAGGAGCAAGGGAAGCACAGAGACTTAGGCCTGCTCACGTTCTGCTGGGGCCTGGCCAGCACAGGTGAGCTCGGCTCCCAGGCTCAGCCCCTCTCCCCTGTGCCTTCCAGGAGAAGAAACAGCGCCGGGCTGAGAACATCAAACGCCGCCTGGAGAATGAGCGGAAAGCAGAGATCGTCCAGGTGGTGAGTAGCCCCCGCCCCAGGCCCCACTTGTGGGATACAGACCACAGCCAGACGGACAAGGAGCTCCGCCCCAATATGGCCTGTTCTTGCTGCATCCTGGGTTGCTGCCAGGTGTGCCGCCTTTCTCCAGGGAGCAGGGACAGACTGCACACTAAGGCTTCTCCCTTCCTTGCCCCAGATCCGGAACCCCGCCAAGCTCAAGCGAGCAAAGAAGAAGCAGCTGCGCACCATTGCGAAGCGGGACACCCTGACCCTGTTGCAGAAGCAGCCACCCCAGCGGCCCAGGTCTGAAGCCTGAAAGCCCTCCACAGCCAGGAGCCACGTCAGACAGATGGCACTGCTGGGACCAGTACTGGAGCTCTGGGGGCTCAGGGGAAGGCTTCAGGCTGGATGGGGCTCCTGGGCCTTGAAGCAGGGCTCAAAGGAATCAAGCATCACCTTTGCATCCCCGACCGTCTCCACGTGCCTTCAGACAAGAACAGCACATTCTTGCTGCTCAGTGGCTGCGGGGGTGGCGGGTCAGCATCCAGCCCAAACCAAAGCCTGTAGTCAGAAACCTGCTCCTTCTGCCGCAGCACCAGAAGATCAATCATCAGGGAGTTGGCAGGAGCAAGGCTCCTCAGTGCCCCTCGGCCCACACCGGACTGCAGAATCCCCCGTGATTAGACAGTGTGCCTGGGCCATCTACAGCAGAAGCATTTATTGAATGCCTGTTGCATACAGGTCCGTGGATGGGTGCCAGGGAAAGCAAACACACTTAAGTCCCTGCCCTCAGGGAGCTTTCATTCTTCCATAATAAAGAACTAAAATGCATGGCACTGGGAGTTGAGGTCAGGGAGAAGGAGGGAGACACAGGGTGATGCTTCACAGCACGTTTGTTGAGTACCTGCTGTAGGCTGGGCCCTGGCTGGTACAGGCCGGAAGCGACCTGACCTTCAGAAGCCCCAGGAGAATTCGTCATTCCTGCCTTTCCAGTACTTTTCACCAACAAACCAACTGAACTGATGTTGAACAGCCAGTCCACGAAGTGCAGAGCAGAGATGGCATTGGTCTCCATGATGCCATGCAAGAGCCAGGATTGGCAAATACAAAGTCCCCCTCTGGCCTACACCAGCAGATATCCCAGTGAGGCAACTGCCCCCTTTAGATGAGGATGTTCTTGCTCCTGGACAGAGTTGAGCAGGACAGGCCATCACTGAAAGCCCTAAGCCAGACTCTGCCTGTTTATAAGCCACCTACCCTTAAGATTGGGTGATTGCTGGGTGGCAGTGGTTCATTCCTGTAATCCTAGTTATTCAGGAGGCTGAAATCTAAGGATCACGGTTCAAAGCCAGTCCAGGTAGTAAAGCCTATGAGACTTATTTCCAGTTAACCACCAAAGGCCAGAAGTGAAGCTGTGGCTCAAGTGTCAAAGCACCAACCAGCCATGAGCAAAAAAAAGCTCAGAGACTGCTTAGGCCCTAGTACTGCCACCAATTTTGTTGTTGTATGGCTGTCTCTCACCTCTTCACCTTAGGTGAATACCACTTGACCCACAGCGCCACTTCAGCTTTCTGGTGGTTAATTGGATGTCAGTCTCACTGGCTTTCCTGCCCAGGCTGGCTTTGAACCATGATCCTCAGATCTCAGCCTCTTGAGTAGCTAGGATGACAGGCAGGAGCCACTGGCGCATGGCCAATTTTTTTTTTTTTAAATATCTGGTGCTTATGTTAGCTTGGTAGCTAAATGAAGATGGTAGACTGCTGCTTAGCCCTTTCCTTTTGCTCCCAAGCTCTATCTCTGATACAATGTGACCCCCTCGCCTCCCTTCCACCCTCCTCTGGAAACAGGCTCTGCTGACCTGCTTTGAGAAGTCTATAGTGAGTGAGTTTATGAGCACAGCCCCAGGCCACAGTGCAGTTCAGAAGTACTTCAGCCAGCCGGGCCTGCTGATTATCAAACCACTCAGACAGGACCCTGCTGGATTCATTGGGCAAACAGCTAGTTTCTGAGAGATCCATTCAGTCACCCAAGGCGGGCCAAAACAGATTCCTCAGCCTGCCCCCTTATCTCCATTTTCACAGCAGGGCTGTACCCTGGGGGTCCAGGATCACCACCCGGTTACCACCCTGCCTCTCTCTGCCTTTGGGGAGAAAGGTCTCCCGAGGCCCTGTGGGCCTGGCGGAGCCATCCGATCCGAGGTGGGGTTCAGCGCTGCGCCCTGGGTGCCCATCTCGCCCCTTCGAGCATCGGGCGGGCACACAGACCAGGAGGCCCGCTGGGCAGGGCGGGGACCCCAGGCAGCCGCCCAGGGACAGGGTGGAGGTGGAGGAATAGACGCTGGGGCGGCGGCTGCTGACCCCGCCGCTGCCCGCCTCGCTGTCATCCAGCAGAACGCTTTCCAGCACGGCGCGCAGCGAGTCCCGCAGCTTGTGCACCACATCGGGGCAGATGAAGACGTAGAGCAGCGGGTTGATGACGCTGTTGATGAAGGCCAGGCTGGTGACCAAGGGCAGCCCGCGCCAGACGAGCGGCCGCAGGGCGGGGACGGAGTGCGCCCGCGCCTCCAGCAGGCTGAAGACGTGGTAGGGGCCCCAGCAGAGCGCGAAGGCCGCCACCACGGCGCTCACCAGGCGCACGAAGCGGCTGCTCCGCGGGCGGCCCCGGTGGTGCAGGCGCGCGCTGATGGCCGCGTGGCTCCAGCCGATGATGGCCAGCGGCACCAGGAAGGCCAGGAGGAACTTGCTGACGGCCAGGGCCGCCTGGCGCAGGTTGCAGGCGGCCTCCAGGTCAGGCCCCGGGTGCAGGAGCAGCACGTTGTAATAACACATGATCCGTCCGTCCCGCCGCGGGATGGTGTCCCGGAACACGTAGAAGGGCACCGTGTGGAGCAGCGCCAGCGCCCAGAGCGCCAGGCAGACTTTGTGAGCCCAGGCCACGGAGCGGTGGTTCTGCGCCCACACCGGCCGCCACACCTGCAGCCAGCGGTCCAGGCTGATGGCGCTGAGCAGGAAGCCGCTGGCGAACATGGTGAGGAAGAAGACGGAGGAGTGCAGCTTGCAGAAGGGGGTGCCCAGCTCCCACGAGTGGCCCACCGCCAGGAAGTAGGTGAAGAAGGGCAGGGAGGCTGTGGCCAGCAGGTCGGACAGCGCCAGGTGCATCACCCAGGTGGTGATCACCGTGTGGCGCATGCGGCAGCCCACCAGGAAGAGGATGAGGCCATTCTCCACCAGGCCCAGCACCGAGGCCAGCGCGTGCAGTAGCACTGACGCGTGGTCTATGTAGCGGATGCTGGAGTTGCTGTGGCTTTGGAGGTGGCTCATCTGCTCCAAGACTGGGCAGAGCAGCTTCTGAGTGGCGTTGGCCATGGTGGTTGGGGGGGTAGGCCACAGGGCTGATCCTGACACAGCTGGGGTCACCTGGGAGCCACAGAGAAATCAAGTCAGTGCTTGGCCCCGGGCAGCTCATGCCTGTAATCTAGCTGCTCAGGAGGCTGAGATCTGAAAGACCAGGGTTGGAAGCCACTCCAGTTAACCAGCAAAACAGCTGGAAGCGGAGCTGTGGTTCGACAGTAGAGTGCCAACCTTGAGCAGAAAACAACCAGGGAAAGAGCATGAGACCCTGGGTTCAAGACCTAGTATGGGGGTGGGAGGGGTGGTGGAAAACCAAGTCAGAGATGCCATCTTAACCCAGAAGTGTAACAGAGCCAGCCACTGGGGTTGGTGGATGTTGAGAAAGACCAGGGAAGCAAGCCTTCTTTCTAAGTGGATTGCTCTGTAATGACATCCCTTTGTAAGAGTCTGTGGCTTGTTGTGATATTAGGGGAAATTAAATGAGCTAATACATAAAGAGCATGCGTGCGGCAAGTGTGATGATCTTCAAGCCTAAATGGTGTAAAGTTATACAGGCCTCCTTTTCTCAGCCCCAGAGCACACAGGGATGGGCGTGGTCCGGCATAGGTTGGGAGGAGTCCGTGGTCTTGTTCCACCCACCACCCCCAGCCCTTGCCTTTCTACAGATCCTCAAAGCGAAGCTGTTGTTTGTCCCATAGAGTGGCTGCCTGGGTGTGTTGATGATGAACAGTGGACTGGGCCCTCCTTTGCTAGTAGGACAGGAAATGAGATAGGTTGGGGGGGAGAGCTGGGAAGACAGGGGTTCTCTCCTAGGGGACAGCCACAGCAGCCCGCCTACCCCGGGAAACCCACCCCTGTTCACTCACTCAACAGGGATGTGAGCGACTTGCTATTCTCTGGTGCCAGAGATGCCAGGCAGACACACAGCAGGCAATCATGCATAATCACAGCCTGGCCCAGGCCCCCCAGAGCCCCTTGGATAAAACTGGTGGGGATAAATGGGGGGGGGGGGAGAGGAGCTGGAAGAACTGAGGTAGAGGATCTCTGCAGGAGGAAGGGCATAGATCCCAGCTGATGCCAGGGACCTAGGTTGGTCTTCTGTGTGGGTGCTCTCTTTCTCATGCCTTCAGAACAGAGCGGAGACCAGAGACTCTCCATCCCGTTTCACAGTTAAGAAAACTGAGATACAAAATGCAAACATGAGTAGGAACAATTGTTTAGCCCTCTGCTTCTTTCCTCTCTTCTACCTCTTCTCAAAGGAAGAGGTGATAGAAGAGGAAGAGAGGGAAAGAGGAAGGAGAAGCAAGCAGTAGCCTTTAGTAGTCTCTTTCCAGTGGAAAAACTAGTGCCCACGGCAGAAAACTCTGCCCCCTCCAAAGATCACCATCCTTGGCAAGCTGGTATTTCGGGGACCCAAGCAAGGAATTCTCTGGCCAAGGAGGTTTCTGGAACTGGGGTTCTGCAGACAGGTGGGAGGGGCAGGTGGGCCCAGAATTCCTGAGAATGCTTCTCCTGCCTGCTCTTACCTCCTAAGCTTTAAGACCCTATAAGACCCCTGTAAGACCCCACTTTCCAGAAGAGGAAACTGAAGTTCAGAGAAGCACAGAACCTGGCCCTATGTCCCCCGGCTGGAGCCAGGACCCCACTTCCAGCAGACAGACCTGTCTCCTCTACTCTGTGCATTTCCTTCCACCAGCCTCTGCTCACTGGGCCCAGCCCCATGGCACCCTTGGGAGCCCCCCTGGACTGCTGGGTCCCTCAGACTGCATGGACTTCAGGGAGCCCAGTGACTGGGGTCCTGCTTTTGCAGGGAATGGAGAAGAGGGCTCTGGGCATCTGAGCTCCTCAGATTCTTGGTCAGTCTCCATGTATCCCTGAGACTGCTGTAGAATGGCCCACTACTGTAGCTGGAGTCTAGTTAACTAGTTAAAGCTTAAGAAATCCCAGTGCCTGGCAGCAAGTCCCTGCCGGGCTGGTGAACTCACCCCTCTGCCATCCTACCAGGTAACAGTTCTCTGCCAGGTAAGAATACTGCTGTCTCCTATGGATCCACCAGGCTGTCCCACCCCTGGTCCCCCACCTCCTTACCTGGCCTCAGAAGAAGGAAAGAAGGAAGGAAAGGACGAAGCAAAGATCCAGTCCTGGAGGCAGTTGGCTGCTGAAAGCTGCTGGACTTGAAGCACCAAACAGGCAGAGGGAAGAGAGTACGCTAAGGGAGGAAGTAGCTGTTAGCTGTGTGTGTGTGTGTGTGTGTGTGTGTGTGTGTGTGTGTGTGTGTGTGTGTGTGTGTGTAGGGGTGGAGTGGGAGAGGCTGAGACGGCAGAGAGTTGCCCCACATCTCTATCTACCCTGGCAGCCCCCGCCCCACCCCCTTCTTGCACAGAGGAGGCTCAGAGCCCAGAAGACCTTGCATGTAGCCTGGGGATACGATCATGTGCAAGAAAGTGAAGGCTGAGTGTGCTAGGAGTATTCATTCCATGGGGAGTGGCCTGAGGAAGACGAAGGCTTGTCCCAGCTGTTCTGAGCTCTCAGACAGCCTGGGTGCCCGGCTGTGACAGTCCTGGCTGGGCTTGGTCACAGGTCCAGCCCGGAGGCCCAGTGCCTCCATCCATTCCTCGACTAGGTGGCCTGTCACGTGTCCTCTGTGCACAGGAGCAGTGGCTGCTCCCAGGGGAAGCAAAGATGCAAAGAACTGGTTCCTACAAAGCACCTGGCATGTAGTAAGCACGTGTAAAAATAGTGTCCTCCCTAGCTATGGAGAAAGCCAGTGTAAGCTGCCTTTGAAAGTAATCAGACTGCCGGGCTGTTAGTGGCTCACACCTGCAATCCTAGCTACCCAGGAGGCTGAGATCCAAGGATCATGGTTCAAAGCCAGCCCGGGGAAGGAAACTTAGTATGACTCTTATCTCCAATAAACCACCAGAAAACCAGAAGTGGCACTATGGATCAAGTGGTAGAGCGCTAGCCTTGAGCTGAAGACTGAGGGACAGTGCCCAGAGTTCAAGCCCCATAGCCAAAAAAAAAAAAAAAAATGATCAGACTATTGTAGAGCAGCTAAGTAGCACCCTGTGACTCACACCTGTAATCCCTTCTACTTGGGAGGCTGAGATCTGAGGAGGGAGGTTTGAAGCTAGCCTAAGCAGACAAATCTGAAAAACTCTCATCTCCAAGCGACCAGCAAAAAGCTGAAAGTGGAGGTGTGGCTCAAGTGGTGAAATGGCAGCCTATAATGAAAAGTCAAGGGAGATCATGAGTTCAAGCTTCAGTATAGGCACAAAGGAATGAAGGAAGGGAGAGGGGAGCTCTGAGCCCGAGGAAAAGAGAAGGTTGCATGAGACAGCGTCACCTTCCCCAACCCCTTAATCTCCTTTGCTTTGGGGGCCAGGAACCATTGCTTCAATACAGCATCCTGATAGCCAGTAGATGCTGGGAGTACCTCCCAGCTGGTGTCTCCACAGGGGTCAATCTGCACAAGAGTACACACGCGCCCGCGCACACACACACACACACACACCGTTACCTCCTCACCACCAATAGGAAAAGGACTCCTGTCTTCTGGGTCTCGGAAAGGTTGGAACTGCCAAAAACAAATGCCTACGCCCCCACCCCCTCAAACCAGGTAGAGGGTGTGTGTGTGTGTGTGTGTGTGTGTGTGTGTGTGTGTGTGTGTGTGTGTGTGTGTGTGTGTGTGTGTGTGTGTGTGTGTGTGTGTGTGTGTGTGTGTGTTCTGGTCTATCTTGGGGAAAGCAGCTCCATCCTGCCCAACCCACCCCCCACCATCCCCACTGACCCACAGACAAGACCGACCAGGTGGGTGGGGCAGGGTGGTGGGTGGGGCTGGATAAAGGGCAGGGCTGGATGGTGGGCGGGTTTAGGGATGCTAAAACCAGATTGGCAATGTTTGCATCTGGACCTACCACTCCCAAGTTAGGGATTTTGGCATCTAACTCAACGACAGGAAAAGATGATTTTTTTCCCCCTCTGTGGTATGTGTGATGGTACTAAGGCTTGAACTCAGGACCTTACATTCTCAATTGGAGTTTTCCACTCAAGGATACTGCTCTACCACTTTTACTAGTTGATGGGAGATAAGAATCGATCAGATTTATCTAAGCCCACAGCCTAGGCTAGCTCGGAATCTCTGTCCTTACTCAGATTTCAGCCTCCTGAGTAGCTAGCTCATTGCAACCAGCAGGCAAGCACGACAGGTTTCTGGGGCTCAGAGACGTTTAAGTGACTCCTCGAGGCTGCTCAGCCAGCAAACATAACTCTTCCCAGCTGGCCAAATTTCTCCAAAGTTCTCTGTTTCCTAAAGGAAGTACAGAGCTGCCTTTAATATTACCTATGCTCCTCCAGGCTTCTGGAAGGAAGCTACAAAGCCCACAGGATCACAGAGGCCGCCACTGAATGAAGCAACTGGCACCTTGCTGGTTTGCTGCAGGCCGGGGCTCTGTCTGTCCAGCCCAGTGAGGTCCGGGCCTCCTTTCCCTCTGTGCCTGGGTTGGATTAACAGAGGAGACAAGCAGGGACTGACATGTCCAGAGCTCAGTATTCCCATCTAGTCTGTCTTATTCTTAGTCTCATTTTACAGATTAAGAAATTGAAGGTCACGCCTCCAATTGAAGCTCACACCTGTAATCCTACTCAGGAGGCTGAGATCTGAGTGAGGATCATGGTTCAAAACCAGCCCAGGAAAGAAAGGCCATGAGACTCTTACCTCCAATTAAGCACCTAAATATTGGAAGTGGAGCTATGGCTCAAGTGGTAGAGTGCTCGCCTTGAGCTGAAGAGCTGAGGGACAGCGCCCAGACCCAGAGTTCAGGCCCCACGACCGACAAAAAAAAAAAAGTAATGAGGATGTGGAAGACAAAAGAAGACGGGACTGTCCCAGACCTGAGGGAGCTGAGTCACAGAGTCCCGGATTGGACCTTAGTCGAGGAAAACATTTCATTACAAAAATCTTTATCAAGACAGTTGCTGAATGGTACAAATCTCTGTAGCAGGAAGGATGGCCGTAAAGAGGTGTGTGCGACCACAGGCCAGTGTGCACCATGTGGATTTCCTGGGTTTGGTAGTTTTGCTGTGATTACTTCCTCTTATTAGAAAGTAGGCATTGAATGTGTATGTGTCTACCTAGCTATTCGAGAGGCTGAGATTTGAGGATCCCAGTTTGAAGCCAGCCTGGGCAGGAAAGTCCAGGAGATTCTAATCTATAATTAGCCACCAAAAACCTGTGGTTCAAGTGGTAGAGCAGTAGCCTTGAACAAAATAGAGGCTCTCAGGGCCTAAGTTCAAGCCCCAAACCAGCACCCCCCCCCCCCAAAAAAAAAAGTACTTCATATCAGAGGAATCTGGGAAAAGACTATATAGAATTTCTATTTTGTAAGCCTGAAAAGCCTTACATTATTTCAAAGTAAAAAAGGTTTAGGGCTGGGGGTGTAGCTTAGGGATGGAGCCCTCATCTGGCTGTCCCTGGGTTCATCAGAAGAAGAAGATGGGAATCAAAGGTTAAAATTGTCCTGCTGAGTACCTACCTAGTAACTGTAGCTATTCAGGAGGCTGAGATCTGAGGATTGAGTTTCTAAGTCAGCTCGGGACAGAAAAATCCCTGAGACTTATCTCCAGGGAAGCAGCCAAAAGCCAGAAGTAGAGATATGGCTCAAGTGATAGAGCACCAACCTTGAGCAAAAGCAAGAATGCAGGCAAGTACCCGAGTTCAAGCCGCAGGTCCAGCACACAAACACAAATTGTCCTTCCAGTAAGGCCCACTTCATTAGCTGCTGACCCTCCCTGCCTTATCTCCTCCCCCTCCCCAGCTCGCCCTTCCCCAGGAAGCTCCCAGGCTCAACTCCGGGGCATCCCAGGTCAGTGCTTCTCACATCCCTATTGAACTCTGGCTTTGAGTGGGAGGGAGGAGGGAAGTTGCTGAATGGGTCCCCCAGCCCCATCCCTCCTCTACAAATGTGTTGCTTTCTGTCGTAAAGACAGATTCTCCCTGCCAGGTGGCAGTTGGCAGTGAGAGAAATACAACCTCAAGTTCTTAATGATGACTCCACCTTCTTACAACTCATGGCTTTCTTGCTCACAGCTGGTACTCTACCACTTGAGCCAGGCCTCCACTCCAGCTTTTTGCTGGTGAAGTGGCCAGAAGAGTCTCACACGAAGCTTCCCCCAGCTGGGCACAGTCTCAGTAAGCGTTTGGCATTGCAGAGCACTGAATCACTGTCACCTGCGATCTGGCACGCCCCATACTGGTCCCTTTCAGATGTCCCCTCCCCTCTACCAGGCAAGCAGTATTTAGCAGCTGATGTGATCAGAGGGGAAACCCAAAGCAGCTCAAGATAGAGAGCACAGGTGGGGAGCACAGGGCTGGAGAGGAGCCAGCCCCTCCCACGCTCTCCTACCACTGCCAAGATGACCCTGGATGCCAGCCTTTGCTGAGCGCCAACCTTACTGGGGGCTCTGAGTGCATCACATGCATGAATCACTGAATTGGGGGGGGGGAGATGTCCCTAAGAGGGTGGGGGTGGGGTGAGAAGTGACACAGGCAGACCCTGTGATCTGAGCCCTGCCTGCAATAAACATTGAGCCGTTCTGTGGTATAGTTAATAGATATTATCTCTTAGATAAATGTTCTAGATTAACAGGAAAGTTTGAGAAGACAAAAGAGGTCACATAAGCCCAAAAGAGGTTGTTTTTTTCCCCCTGTAATTAACACCTTCAATTAGCATTGTACATTTATTTCAATCAATGCAGCCAAGTAGAGCTACATTGTGGTCAGCTGTCAGCTTGGTCTTCCTGGGCTTTCTATTCAGCAATCCCATGTTTCAGGGGTTGGAGAGTTGGGAGTTTGTTGTTATTTTCCAGTCGTGGGCCCTGAACTCTGGGCCTGGGCGCTGTCCCTCAGCTCTTTAGCTCAAGGCTAGCGCTCTACCACTTGAGCCATAGTGCCACTTCCAGCTTTTTCTGCTTATGTGGTGTTGAGGAATTGAACCCAGAGCCTCATGCGTGCAAGGCAAGCACTCTACCACTGAGCCACCTTCCCAGCCCTTGGATAGTTTTGAATTCTAAAATCATTGCAGATTCATGAGATTTCTTGCAAAAGGGACCCACGACTGGACAGGAAATATATTCATGTTTCCTGTCTATTTTATGCACGTAGAACTTGGAGACAAGCTTTTCTTTGCTTGTTTGTAATTTGTTGCTTCTAAGATAGCATCTCACTAAAAGGCAACTCAATCTTCCCAATTTCCTGAGGGCTACATACATGCCTATGTCATCATGCCCAGCAGCCTGAAGATAACTTTCTAAAATTTGTGTGTGTGTGTGTGTGTGTGTGTGTGTGTGTGTCCCTATTGGGGCTTAAATTCAGGGCTTGGGTGCTATCTCTGAGCTTTGGTGCTCAAAGCTAATGCTCTACCGCTTGAGTCACAACTTCTGGCTTTCTGGTGCTTAAAGAGAAGAGTCTCTCAGATTTTCCTGCCTGAGTTGGCTTTGAATTACAATCCTCAGATCTCAGCCTCCTGAATAGCTAGAATTGTAGACATGAGCCACCAGCTCCCAACTCTGGTGTCTGTGTTAGCTGTGACCAATGTAGGTGGGGAGACTTTTCCACTTCTGCAAACGTGCTGGCGTTCTGAAAAATCTCAGATTTGGGAAGATTTTGGACTGCAGACTGAAGACCTGCAATAGTCTAGGAGGGCCCTGGGAGGAGCTGGCAGTCTGCTTTCTTACCTGCTGCTGTTGGCTCTGCTGCCAGCCTGTCTGCCCTGCCTCTCTCCTCCGCCTTGCCCCAGGAGTGAGAATGAACTACGGAGGCCCAGAGCAGACAGGAGGCCCGGGAGGACTGTCTGGGCAGGAAGGGTGGGCCAAGTCTGACAGGGAGCTTGGCTGAGAACCTGAGAACTTCAGGCTGCCTCCCAGCCCATCCTGCAGCTTCAGCTTTGCTAGAAAGTTCCCTCCTCTCCCCAGCTGGGAGGGAAAAGCCAAGTGAGGCCATGGGCCACTCTCTTAGCAGCCCTCTGGGCCCAGGCTGGAAGGGCGCCTTCCACTACCACTGAGGCAGGAGTTTTACCACAGTCCCTGGTGGCCAGGTGGAGACTCTCCCCACCTCCCACATGCCCCCCAGGTGAGCCTCCTTTGCTCTTAGAGGGTACCAGTTGCTTCCTTCCATATAAGGCCTGGGAGGGAAGCAGTCGGGCCTGCTGTGGTTGTCTCTGTGTGTCCTCAGGATGGCACAGGGTCAGCCCATGACCCTGCTGCTCTTGGTGGCGGCCACCTTGGGTCAGAAGCATTATGTCGAGGCTGGCTTGTCAGACTTCCGGCACAGCTATGACTGTGGGGTGCGGGGTATGCAGCTGGTCGTGTTCCCCAGGCCAGGCCAGACCATCCGCTTCAAGGTGCTGGGTGAGTGGTGCAGAAAGCAGGGAATGGGGCTGGGGGGAAACTGAGGCCTCCATAGTGAGCCCACAAGAGAGGGCAGGTGGCCAGTCTGCCACTGAAACCAGAGTCTAAGAGTCCCAGTTAGGCCCATCCACTCACCTCCATATGCCAAATAAAGAGGCGTGGTGAAGGCAGGGAAAGGAGACTGATCCCATGGCCGCCGTGGGAAGACAGCACGTCTGTTCACCTCCAGCCATCGTCAGAGGCGCCCACACTGGCTTCCGGTTCAATAGGGAGGATCGGGGGCAGGGAGTGCGAGCGGTGTGTGGAGTTAACACAGTCCCGGGTCCCAGGAATGGCCTGGTTGACCACTAGCTCAGTCTTGGTCCTTGAAGGAGCTCTGGAGAGATTGTCATCACTTTGTTCCTGGGACAGAACAGGAACGAGGTGGTCTCCTGAGTTTTTGGCTGTTTGTTTTAAGATGCTAAGAAGAAGGCATTGCCTGTTTGAGGAGCAGTTTGCCTTCCACACAAGATCGTTACCTGTGAGTCTTCTCTTTTCTCCTGCTAAGGGACTGCAGCAGAGACTAGCTCAGATCAAAGGGCACAGATACAAAGTTGGGGGACTTTTTCTTTTTCCTTCATCAGTTGTAGGACTTGAACTCAGGGCCTGAGGTGCTGTTCCTGAGGGTTTCCACTCAAGGCTAGCACTCTACCACTTGGAGCTCCAGTTCCACTTCTGGTTTTAGTTATTTGAAGATAGAAGTCTCAAGGGGACTTTTCTGCCTGGGCTAGCTTTGAACCGTGATCCTCAGGTCTCAGCCTCCTGAATGGCTAGGATTACAGGCGTGAGCCACCAGTGCCTATAACTCATGGGACCCAGCAAAGGCACCTTTTAAGTTTCCTCTTAGATAAAGGGGGTGGGGAGGAGAGGGGCCACTAGGGCAGTGCATCCCATGAACAGGAATCACCTGGCCAGATAGAGGGGCTGGTTCTGAGGAGAAAAGGCCAGACCCTGCATTTCTAACCATATCCCGCTCAAGCGAGGCTGCTGGTTCACCAGCGATTCCGAGGCAGGGCCCTGGTGGACATGCCCACTGTGGGTTTGAACTGGAGATTCACATCAGCAGTTCATAAGCTGTGTGCTGCTGGGCAGCTGGGCCTGACCTCTCTAAGCCTGGTCTGCAAGTGAGGCATGCTGATCTATGGTGTTTCTATGCGCACTAAAGAGGAAGGCACCCCTGAAGGTACCATGGCTGCTGTGGGCTAACAAGATGAGTGAGAAGCAGGCAAGTGTCTCTAAGTAACGTCAGCAGACAAGCTCAGTTCCTTCACAAACAAAGCAGGGGGCAGGAAGGTGGCTCAGTGGTAGAGCGCTTGCCTTGCATGCATGAGGCCCTGGGTTCGATTCCTCAGCACCACATAAGCAGAAAAAGCCAGAAGTGGTGCTGTGGCTCAGGTGGTAGAGTGCTAGCCTTGAGCTGAAGAGCTGAGGGACGGCGCCCAGGCTCAGAGTTCAGGCCCCACGACCAACCAAAAACAAACAGGGCAGGACTGGAATCCTCATTCTTCATGGCGGGCACCTGAGGAAGCTCAAGCACATCTCAGCGGCCTCCACCACAGGATCCAAGCCAAAAGAAACCATTGATGAGCTCAGCCCATTTGCCTGGAACTTGATGGGTCCTTGCTCCACCCCAGCCTGAGAACCAGCCTGCTATCTGGATGCTGGTGGCTCACGCCTGTAATCCTAGCTATGCAGGAGGCTGAGATCTGAGGATTGCTGTTTGAAGCCAGCCTGGGCAAGAGACTCGTCTCCAATAAACCTGCCAAAAAAGCTGGAAGTGGAACTGTGGAGCCCAACTTAAGTGAGAAAGTTAAGTGGGAAAGGCTCTCAGTTCAAGCTCCAGTACTGACACCAACCCCCTTCCTCCTCTAACAACCAAAAAATCCCAGCCTGCCTCTCAGCTGCACTGTCCCAGTTAGAAAGATCTATGAGCAGCCCCATCCCCTGAGAGGGATGCAAACAGACCAGGAGAGAGAGGAGGTTTGCCCAGGACCTCGCTGCCGCAAGCTAGAAGCAAAGCTAAGGCTGGAATGGAGTGTATGTTGGGGGCGGGGGGGGGGTCCCTTCAGCTGAGTACAGCAGCCTCTAGCTTCGCCCTTCAGTGCCTCACATCCCTCCCTCCACCCTCTCTCCCTTCCTCCTCCCCAGATGAATTTGGAAACCGCTTTGAGGTGAATAACTGCTCCATCTGCTACCACTGGGTCAGCTCAGAGCCCCTGGAGCCAGTGGTCCTCTCGGCTGATTACAAAGGCTGTCACGTGCTGCAGAAGGTAGGGGGGCCCACTGCTGGGGGAGGTGATGGGGGACACAGAGGGGTACTTGGCTAACATAGCCCCTCCCCCACTGAGGAGGAGGAGGAATCTCAGACTGGGTATAAATTGGTGGGCCACAGAGATTAAGTCTGGGCCGGGCCACAAATCCAGCTCCCTGCCTAATAATCCCGGAGTTCCTTCTGACCCCTCATCTTACCTGGGCGCCAGGTGAGCTGACCAGCTGCGTCTCTATGTGGCTCTCACCTACAGGATGGCCGTTTCCACCTGAAGGTCTTCATACAAGCTGTGCTGCCCGATGGCCGGCTGGGCACAGAGCAAGTTGTCACTCTGATCTGTCCCAAACCTGAGCCCACCAGGACCCTGGACCCTAACCTGACACGGCTTACAGTGTCTGCACCCCCTGCCCCTCAGACTCGCCCCCGTCCTCCGAGTGCTCACCAAGCCCTACCCAGCACATCGTTCTCAGAGTACAGCTCCACGCCTCCAACTCCTCCATCGTCACCATTTCCCACACCAGAATCTGAGTACCCCTCCATGTCTCAGACCCACTGGGGTCTCCTACTGAAGGACCAGGCAACAACCAAGCCATATCACACAGGTTTGTAGGACTTCTCGACGTCTGGAGCCTTTGTCTGGGCTCTGGAAAGCCATCTGTTCATTCACTGCCCTGTCACCCGTCCTAGGTACCCATCTGCCCCGGAAGTGGTGCCATGTGACCTCTGGGCACATCCCCTGTATGGCAAGAAATTCTTCCAAGGAAGCATGTTGGCAGGCTGGCTGCTGCTATGATGACACCAGAGAGGTGCCCTGTTACTATGGCAACACAGGTACACCCTCCCCCATCCAGTGCAGACCCGGTCCCTTAGACCCTGCTGTGACAACAGGTACTTCCTGCACCTGCCGAGCCAATTCATGGTAGTTCAGGAGTTCCTCACAGTGGATCAGAGACCCCAAGTCCCCCACCCCCAAGTTTCTAGCCTGCCCTCTAACACCTACTCCCCAGAAAACTGCTACAGATGAACCTTTATGCGCATCTTGACTTTTAGATCATTGCAGGTTTGGAGGACAAACACGTACACACAGGCACTGACACTGGGCTCAAACTCAAGGCCTCATGCTCTGGCTTGGCTTTTTCTTCCCAAGGCTAGCGCTTGAGCCACTCCCCTTCTGGCTTTTTTTCTGGTTAATTGGAGACAGAGTCTCATAAACTTTTTTCCTTCCTGGGCTCACTTCAAACGGTGATGCCCAGATCTCAGCCTCCCGAGTAGCTAGGATTACGGGTGTGTGCCATGGGTGCCCAGCTACTTCGCTTCTTTTTGTTCCATGGAGGGGAAATCAGCCCTGATGGGGATTTGCCAGGGCAACGCTGCTCTAAGGGGGCAGAGCGTGTCCAGGTGTCTCAGCTCCCCAGGCCATGACTTACGTACTGATTTTCTCTCAGCCCATCCCTGTCTCCATGCTGGATGGACCCTGAGTCCCAAAGCCCTGATCTGCCTCTCCCCTCTTCCTTTGTCCCAGCTACCATTCAGTGTTTCAGAAATGGCTACTTCATCGTGGTCCTGTCCCAAGAAATGGCCTTGGCACACAAGATCACACTGGCCAACATCCGCCTGGCCTACGCCCCCACCCACTGCCGCCCCATCCAGAAGACCAGCGCTTTCTTGGTCTTCCAGGTCCCTCTCACCCAGTGTGGCACTACAACCCAGGTAGGAGCAGGACCGGGAGGGGGTGGGGGCGAGCGGGGGGGGGGGGGGGTAGGGGGAAGGGCTGCTGCAGAGACCCCTCCCCTGGGAGAGCCTCATGGCTGCCTCCTCCCCCAGGTGATTGGCAACCAGCTCATCTATGAGAACCAGCTGGTGTCTGAAATCCATGTCCTAAAGGGGCAACATGCTTCCATCACTCGTGACAGCACCTTCCGGTGAGTGGGGGAACCCTTCTCAGGCCAGGCCGCTGGGGGTGGCCGCAGGAGAGCTGAAGCCAGTCATGGGGCTTAGGGTCTAGGTGCTGTCCCAGAGCGCTTTTGCTTAAGGCTAGCGCTCTACCACTCTGAGTCATAGCTCCACTTCCAGTTTTCTGGTTAATTGGACATGAATCTCTTCCTGGACTTCCCTGCTGGGGCTGGCTTTGAACCGTGATCCTCAGATCTCAGCCTCCTGAGTAGCTAGGATGACAGGTGTGGGCCACCAGCGGCTAGCTGGCTTTGAACTTTTTTTTTTTTTTTAATTTCCCTTTTATTTTTTATTTATTTATTTATTTATTTTGGTCCGGTCGTGGGGCCTGAACTCTGGGCCTGGGCGCTGTCCCTCAGCTTTTCAGCTCAAGGCTAGCGCTCTACCACCTGAGCCACAGCGCCACTTCCGGCTTTTTACTTTTTGCTTATGTGGTGCTGAGGAATCGAACCCAGGGCCTTGAGCATGCAAGGCAAGCGCTCTACCACTGAGCCACCTTCCCAGTCCATGGCTTTGAACTTTTTGACCAGTGACAATGTGCCTAACCTGAGCCTGAGTTTCCTGCCTTAGAGAATTGGCTATTTTAGCTTTGGGGTGTACAAGGTCTCTGCTTGGTGCTGCATGAGAGTTCAGGGTTTAGGAGGCCACGTGTATTTTGCTTTGAAGCACAGAGTGCTTATAGCCAGGAGATGGGCCACAAGTCTCATGCTTTAGATCCTTGATCTAAAGCCCAGCATGAGCAGCCAGAATTCAATTAGCAGTCTGGGATTCCCAGAGTGTGGGAGACAAGGCAAACGGCTGTAGCCTGACGGGACTAAGCAAGACCCCACAGATGTCAGGTGGCAAAAGGCCAAAGTCCTTCAGAACTGGGTACAACTTCTCCAGCTCTATAGCCCTGTGGCATCAGGCCTCCACCTGGAGATGCTAGATACTGTATTGCAGACCATAGACAAAGACAAACCTAGACCCCGATGCATTAGCTTGTGGTCTTGCACAATTCCCTCCACAGCAATCAGAGGGAGGAAACTAGAGGCTTTGGTTAAATGATTGACTTTCCTTCTGGTCCCATGACCTTTAAAGAACACGATGTACGTTCAGATCTGTACAGGCTCAATAGCCAGGTTGCAAAGGCCTCAAAGGGCAAAACAAAGACAGATGCAGAGAGATGCTAGCCCCCCCCCCCCCCCCGACCCCGTGGCCTTGCTCCTGTAGCACCCCTGTCCCTAGACAGGGGCCTGGCATGATGAGCTGAAGCCTGGCCAGACCCGGTGGGCAGAGGACGGGGTGAGTGCTCGGCCCCTCCCCCTGGTCCTTGTGTAGAGCCAATCCTTTCCTAGAGGACTGCCGTTGGATTGCATCCATCTGGTTGGGGGATGATTGGTGGAGCTGTGGCCGTCTTCTTCCCCCATCCCCTTGCTCTTGGACTTCAGGCTTCACATCCGCTGTATCTTCAATGCTGGTGACTTCCTGCCAATCCAGGCGGCCATCTTCCCACCCCGATCGCCTGCCCCAGTGGCCCAATCCGGTCCCCTGCGCCTGCAGCTGCGGATTGCCAAGGGTATGGCAGTCGTGCTACTGTTTTTCTCCCTGCTCCTCTTTTCCAACGCTCAGCCTGTCCCAGGCTCAAGGCCTCCCTCCTTGCAGACCAGACTTTCAGCTCCTACTACAGAGAGAAGGACTACCCACTCGTGAGGCTGCTTCAGGAGCCCGTCCACGTGGAAATTCGGCTGCTGGAGAGGACAGACCCCAACCTGGTCCTGAAGCTGCACCAGTGCTGGGCCACTCCCAGCCCCAACCCCTTCGACCGTCCCCAGTGGCCCATCCTGACCGATGGGTGAGTGGCAGCAAGTGGTCCTGGGGGTCCCCCTGCCCTGCCTGTCTTCTGCATGGGGGCGGAGCGGGTGGGGGAACGCTACCCAACTCTCCCCCACAGGTGTCCCTTCAAAGGTGACAGCTACAGAACCCAAATGGTGCCCTTGGACAAGACAGAGGCCTTCTGGTCTCACTATCAACGGTTCACTGTGGCCACCTTCACCCTCCTGAATGCCAGCTCTGAGCAAGCCCTCAGGGGAAAGGTAAGAAGGAGGGATGAGCTGGCTCCCAAATCCCATCCCTTCAGTACCCTGGGGACAAGTGACAAAGGGCCCAGGATGGGGACTGGCTGTCAGACAACAATGAGAGCCAGAAGACAGGAAACACTGACGTGGCTACAATCAAACCTAAATCTCAGCATTGTGGTGGCGTTCTAGGGCAGCCTCACTTCTGATTCTAGAAATGATAGTGTGTGCTACATTAGCTTCTGCTTTTTGAGTTTTTCTATCCCTAGAAACTTCTCCTGAAGGTAAAACTGGATAAACCGGGAGTACGGTTAGGTTTTCTATGTAACCCACAAAATATCACTAAAGGCAACACACTAGGACTGGAGAATCCTGGTTGATGGCACAGTTTCCGTCAGTCAGGCACACAGATCTAATTTTAAATCCCTGCCCTGTGACTCCATCCGATGTAATCTAGCCAGGTCTGATGGTTCATGCCTATAATCCTAGCTACTCAGGAGGCTGAGATGTGAGGATCCAAGTTTGAAGCCAGCCTTTTTATCTCCAACTAACTAGCAAAAACAAACCCCGGAAGCAGAGAGCTGGCTCAAGTACTACAGCACCAGCCTTGAGCAAGAAAACCAAACCAAGGACGCAGAACCCTGAGTTCAGGCCCCAGTACTAGCACATTTTAAAAAATGTAGATTATTCCCACTTGTAGGCCCCGTGTGCGGCTCCTGAGTTGAGAGGTGCTGGCCTGCTGGAGCAGGGACACCCTCGGGTGGGACCTGCTGGTTGCTAGGTCCCAAATTTGGGAGCAACACATGGAGCAAGCAGAGGCTGCCATCCCAGTCAGCACATCCAGGTGTTTGCCTGTCTGCCTGGTCAGCAGCAGGTCTGCCTGGTCCCAGCCCTCAGTGCCTCTGCCCAGTGGTACTGAGCCAGCCTCCTGCAGACCCCCTTCCTCCTGCCAGGTGTACTTCTTCTGCAGCGCCTCTGCCTGCCATCCCTCTGGGCTGGAGACGTGTGTGACTGTGTGCCCGGAGACTACACGTGAGTCTGGGGTAGGAGGGTGGTGTGTGTCCTCTAATTCCAGCCACAGGCCTACCAAGGCCTAGTTTATGGGCCATGGACAATTGAAAATATCCACTCTCTTTCCCCCCTTTCCCCCCCCACCCGGGGAACAGGCCGGCGTCGATCTCCAAGTCATCATAACATTACCACCAAGGTGCTGGACATCGTGAGCTCTCCAGGAGCTGTGGGCTTCGAAGGCCCTCTTAGGCTCCAACCCCCAGGTATTATCAGAGCTTACAGGTGGGCCCCTGGCTGACAAAACAGGGAGGCTCAGGCCATTGTGAGCACACGATGGAGTAATTGCTGTCCCCTGAACTAAGCAGACAGCCTCAGGCGTGCAGAAAAGCAGCTTCCTGTCAGGGGAGGCTGGAAAGTAGACATGGGGAGAATCACCTGGCTGTGCCTAGCCTAACACTTCACCCTCTGATCTGCAGGCTCCAGCAGGACCTCTAACCCCAGTCCTCTACTGTGGGGACTCTTCTTGCTGCTGGCTGTGACTCTGGTCCTGGGAGTTGGCCTCTTTGTGGGGTTAAGCCAGGCCTCCAAGAAGCACTGGGAAGGCACCAGAAGGTGAATGGGCTCAATAAACCATTGTTTCAAACACACCTACGCAGGCATTGATTTGTAAATCCTAGAACACAATTGTTTTTGGATTTGTGCAGGTACTGGGGCTTGAATTCAGGGCCGCCTGGGCAATCATGGTGGGCACAAGGGCTCTCCCTCCCACCTTCACCTTTTTTGCTCAAGGCTGATGCTCTACCACTTGAGCCACACCTCTAGTTCTAGTTCTTTGCTGGTAAATTGGAGGTAAAAGTCTCAAACTGGTTTTGAACCACAATCTTCGGATCTGTCTCCACTCAGTAGCTAAGATCATAGATGTTAACCATCAGTGCCTAGCTTTGTCTGTACTCGTGCTGGGGCTTGAACTTGGGGACCCTGCACTCACTTGGCTTTTTTCATGATAGGTGCTCTATTACTTGAGCCATACCTCCATTCCCACAACTGGTTGAGAAACTTGTTCCTTCAATCTAGTTCTGCTCTTTTGACAACTCCTCCATTACAAATAGACATGCACCTACCCCATAACGTCACAACACAATGGAGCTGAGAAATTCCTCCTGCCTGGTATAGTAGGAAGTGTAGTACACATGCGTGTGCGTGATGGTATGAGCATCCCTGTACATAGTGACACACAGAACACTGCACTTCTAAGAAATGACTATGGAGCTGACTGATATGTTTCCTATGCCCTGCTTTTTACCATTAGAGTATACTCCTGCTTTCATAAGTTCAAGAAAGGGCAAAGTGTTATGAGAATGGCAGTCCTATCTATTTAATGGTAGCCTCACAGTCCTATCTATTTAATGGTAGCCTCACACATCTGTTGACTTGGGCTTGAACTCAGGGCCTGGGCACTGTCCGACAGCTTTTACCTTCTCAAAGCTAGTGCTTTACAACTTGAACTACAGCTCCATTTGTCTTTTTGGTGGTTAATTGCGAGATTGAGTCTCACAGCTTCAAACTGTAATCCTCAGATCTCAGCCTCCTATGAGCGCATCAAGAGACCCCGTGGAGAGTAGCAACCTACTCACGTGTGTAAAACTGCTGATCCTCTGATGATGGGATGGCTTAAGGATGCACTCTTGGCATTGTTTCTGTGCAACTCCTTAGTGAGGCCTAGTCCTTGGTGGTGTTGGCTGTCTCCCAGGGCTGGAGGCCGGATGGTTTGCCTCTGAGCACACGTCTGCATTTCAGGAAGAGGAGCAGCCTGGGGCAGAAAGGCTAGCAGCTGGGAAATGGGACTCTGGCAGAAAGGCAAGCCAGGCAAGGTTTCTCAACCTCCCCCAGACACAGGGTTTTGAAGGGGCATCCTCAGGGCACCTGTGGGGTTGACCTCCTGGGTGAGAAGCCAGAGTCCAGGGGGAGAACCTGAGCTCAGGGTCAGCACCCAGACCCTGGGTTCTAGTCACACCACTTTTGATAACCATTGACCCAAACACCACTGACTGATGCTGAAAACCCCCAAGGATGGTTTTGTCCTGCTGCTTCTAAGCCACGCGGCCAGTCCAGGATGGGTCTGCAGCCCCGAAAGACCTGATAATTCAGCTCCATCCTCTTTGTCTGGACAGAGCCACCCTGGAGTTTTCATTACCCAGATACTTGCTGTGGGAGTGAAGCAACACTCTCCTGTGCGTCTGCCTTCCATCCATTGCTAGCCCTGGCCAGTCCTGCCCAGTTTCCTGCTTGGACAGTCTGCAGGGTTGGGGTGAATAAGTGAGGTTATCTAGTGAGGCTGACTTGCTCTTGGGGGTTAGGTTTCCAGTTCCATAACACCTGTTCTCCAGGAAGAACCCTGTGTTCCATGGGTACAGCATGCTTTGTTCCATAGATGCCCATTGGAGTCTGTGTGACAGGAGTAGATGTCTTGCATCATTTTCTATTACTTGTAATAGATACAGTCCCTAAATTTTAACTGAGATTGTTTGATGCCTATTGAAAGGAAGGCATATCTAGTGTTATGGAGTGCAATTTTTAAGCTAATTATAATATACTATCTTCTTAGAATAAATTCATAGGTAGATATGCGGGTGAAAACCCACATCCCTTATGCATGCTGGGCACTGGAACTGTGGGTATCTGCTGCCCACAGCAGATATCACACTAAAGCTCTGCCTATCCGAGCAGAAGGCAAGCAGCTTTAGTCCTAAAATAGATCTCTGATTAGATTTTTTCTGTCTTTTTTTTTTTTTTTTTTTGCCAGTACCAGGGTCTGAACTTAGGGACTCATAACTTGCTTGATTGGCTAGTGAGTCATACCTCCAGCCTGGCTTTTTTTGCTAGTTAACCAGTCTTATGGACTTTTCTGCCCAAGCTGGTCTCAGAGATTCTCCAGATCTCAGCCTCCTGAGTAGCTAGGATTACAGATGTGAGCCATAAGCACTGTCTAGTTATGTGTCTTTACAGCCATATCTTGTGAAGTGCCCTTCGCATTTTAAATCCATTTCTTGTCTGTAAAGAACATTCACAAATCAAGGGGCCAACATCCTCAAAGTTCCTATTGATCAAACATTGGGGTGTTTTATTATGGGATTCTTTTAAGAAAATGTCACTCATGTTTTACCTTTGAATATGGCAAAGACCATCCCTGCCCAATACCATCACAAAAATGTTTCCTTTTGTAATATGCTCTTGGGACATGCAAATATTTACTTTCAAGTGTGTACAGGTGCGTGGATTGGTTTTGTTGGTGGCAATGAGGCTTGAACTCAGCCTCAGGATGGCTCAGTAGTAATAGTAACTCTGCTACTTGCACCACAGCTCCACTTCCAGCTCTGTGCTGGTTACTCTTCAAAGACTTGTATACCCAGGCGGGCCTCTGAGGATCACAGCTTTGGACCTTGGTCCTCAGATCTCTGCCTCCTGATAACTAAGGATTATAGACATGAGCCACTGGTGCTTGGCTGATACATGATTTTTTGATAACTCTAATTGATACTTAAAGTACACATAGGTTTTGGCAACACATCCATATCAAAGAATCCTGTGTTCAGAAACAAATGTAAAAGCACTCAAATAGATGGGTACGTGTGGCTCACATCTGTAATCCTACTCAGGAGGATGAGATGTGAGGATCAAGGGTGGAAGCCAGCCTGGACAGGAACTCCAGGACTCTTTTCTCCAATTAACCACCAAAACGCCGGAAGTGGAGGTATGGCTCAAGTGGTAGCTCACCAGCCTTGAGCAAAATAAGAGGCAGCACCCAGGTCTTGAGTTTAAGTCCCAATAGGGGCACAAAAAATCCACAACTAATTAAATGGTTGATTGCAGCACTAGGTTTTATGCTCTCCTGGGAAGAAAGCAATCTTTTTTGGGGGGGTGGAGGGTGGTCCTGGGGCTTGAACTCAGGATCTGGGCAATGTTCCTAAGCTTTTGTCTCAAGGCTAGCACTCCATTACTCGGAGGTTCAACTCCACTTCTGGTTTTCTAGTGGTTAACTGGAGATAAGTCATGGACTTTCTTGCCCAGGTTGGCCTTGAACCATGATCCCCACATCTCAGCCTCCTGAGTAGCGAGGATTACAGGAGTGAGCCACTGGTGCCCAGCTACAATCTAACCTTTCATGTACCCACTATTAAAATTTTGCTTGAGTTTTGTGTAACCCTCTCACTACCACCCCACTGTGTGAGCAAGCATCTGGGCCTGTGACAAGCAGAGCCAGACATGATGGGGATAATAGCCCACTTCTGCTGACCTGTGGCAGGAAGCAGAGCAGCTCACGGCCCATCAGGTTTTGTCTCTTCCGGCCTCTTGGGCTACATGGCACCCAGTCATATCCCCTGCTTCCACCTCCACCCCTAACTTGCACGTCCTTACACTGTGCACAAGATCACATTCATTTCGGTGCTTTTGCCTTACTTAAGGGAGAGGAGTAAATACTTCAGAGCCTAACTGCTTAGCTGAAATAGATCTTAACTCCTTTTCCAGCATGGCTGCCCCTGCCATTCCTACATCACTGTCTCATGTGACAGTGCCACTTCCATTCCGGCAGTGAAGGACCAGACACAGGATCAGTGTTCAGAAATAAAATGAGCCAGGCACTGGTGGCTCATGCCTGTAATCCTAGCTACTTAGGAGACTGAGATCTGATGATCAAGGTTCAAAAAGCCAGCTCGGGCAGGAAAGTCCGGGCAGGAAAGTCCGTGAGACTCTTATCTCCAATTAACTACCAGAAAACCCGAAGTGGAGCTGTGGCTCAAGTGGTAGAGCGCTAGCCTTGAGTTGAAGAGCTGAGGGATAGTGCTCAGGCCCAGAGTTCAAGCCCTACAACCAAACAAACAAAAAAGACCAATTATTTTAAAACAGGTTTTAAGTCACTGTTGAAACTAATATGGGTGGGGGAGGCACGTGGAGAGGACAATTATAAAAACAAAACCAGGGGCTGACTCAAGGTGGTAAAGCGCTTATCTTGCATGCATGAGGCGCTGGGTTCTATTCCTCAGCACCACATAAGCAGAAAAAGCCGGAAGTGGTGCTGTGGCTCAAGTGGTAGATCGCTAGCCTTGAGCTGAAGAGCTGAGGGACAGCGCCCAGGCCCAGAGTTCAGGTCCCACAACTGACCAAAAAAAAAAAAAAAAACAAACAGCTGTCCAGGTGCTGATGGCTCACGCCTGTAATCCTAGCTCCTCAAGAGGCTGAGATCTGAGGATCAAGGTTCAAGCCAGCTGGGACAATAAAGTCTGTAAGACTCTGATCCCCAAATAAACCCCAAAAAGCCAAAAGTGGAGCTGTGGCGCAAGTGGTAGAATGCTAAGCCTTGAGCAAAAATGCTCAGGGACAATGCCCAGGCCCTAAGCTCAAGCCCCTGTACAGTACATACAAACACATGAAGAAAAACTGTTCTGGGATCTTCTAGAGAATCAGAAGACCTTGACATTCTGCTTGGATGAGTACAAGTCCTCCAAACTAAGCCCAGAACCTGCCAAAGGCAGGAAAAGTGGAGATGCTTGTGCCTAGCTGAGAGTCCATGGACTGTGCTCAGTGCAAGGAGGAGAAACATTTTCACTGCAAGAAACTCCCATGGCAAGGAGGAGTTAAAAGGAAATCTCACTGCTCTTGGTGCTGATGGGATGATTATAAAAGACAAATGTCTGCCATCATCCTTCCTCTAGGTACAGTCCAAATTCCTAAGATGAGGGGGAGAGAAGAGGGGACCCTCAAAGGTTTAACATGAGGAAAAAACCCTCCAGGGCTGAATTTAAAGTGACCTCTGGTTGTAGACAGAAGCAAGTACAAATCCTGTATGAAGAAACTTCACTTCAGCCAGTTTCAAAACATTCAAGTGGTAGAGCACTAGCCTTAAGCAAAAAAGTCAGGGGCAGAGGCCAGGACCTGAGTTCAAGCCCTAGGGCTGGCAAAAAAAGAAAAACTTCGAAGACACCACTATAAACCCACCAGACTGGCAAAATTATAAAGTAAAAAAAAATTGTGTGTGTCAGTACTGAGTCTTGAACTCAGGGCTTGAATACTGTCCCTTAGCTTTCTCACTCAAGGATGGTGCCCTACCTCTTAAGCCACAGCTCCACTTCCTGCTTTTTGGTGGTTCCTTGGAGATAAAGAATCTCACAAGACTTTTCTGCCCATGCTGGCTTTGAATCTAGATCCTCAGATCTCAGCGTTTCTAAGTGCTGGGAAGTTCTGGAGACAGAAGCACCCTATTGCTGAGAATCAGAATGTCAAGACACTGATAATTGTATCTTGTTACCTAACATTATAGCAAGCTTTCTCTCAGGTCAGTAGTCTAGAATAACCCAAGCACAGAAACATGGTTTATAACCACAAAAGGGATAAAACCAAAACAACAACTCTGACGCTTACTAACAACAGAACATTATCTTCCTATAATGGCGTTTGGGACAATGATCACTTGTAAGGTGAGGCTTAGACCCCAGCCCCCTAATTATGTCTGAGGAAGGACTGGCTTCTGTGAATGCAATGCAGCAATTTGGTATGGGCCACACCACATACTGCGCCAGCTACACTTAGTTCCTAGACCACTTCAGATAAGGTGCTTAAAAGTACAACCCGAAACTGGGAGAGAGTGGAGAAAGGGTGACACTGTCCAAAAAGAAATGTACTCATTACCTCACTTATGTAACTGTAACCCCCGCTTACATTACCATTATAACAACAGTAAAATAAAAAAGCACAGCCCGCTGGCCAGTCTCCAAGTCCAGCACACTGCTAGGGCCATGCAGGACGACACATCTGCAACTTCGATCTCAAAACAACACTGACCCAGCACCTGTTGTGAAGTGTTTCACACTTGTCTTTGCTTGTACAGTGAACGAACAGCAGCTACCGGTGCCAATACAGGTAACTCAATAACAGTGAGTCAAAGGAAAGCAGACCGAGCAGTTCCATTTATACAAAGTTCAAAAATTAGTTAAAATATATATATACATTACAGGTGCGAGCTATCAACACCCACCCAGCCCAACCTAGATTTTCTTCCAACTGCTTTGTGTCCTTAAAGCCTAAAGACAGGTCTGTGGGTGAGAAGGCACTGAAGTCAAAGCTTCACAGCACACGTGTCCACGGCAGGGGCCACTCAGACACTGTTCAGCACCACTGGCTACCAGTGCAGAGCAGGGGCATCAGTAGCCAACATTTCTGTATGCTCTCTACACATATTCATTAGCTCAGGCAACTAAAAAGCCCTATCAGGTAGGCGCCAGAAAGGTCCTTTTCAGACACAGAAGTTCAGACACAAAGGCACAACACAGAAAGCTGCAGAGCTAGAGAGACTCTTGTACTGCACTGCCCCCAGGTGACTGCTTATATTAGTGCTCCAAGTTCAAGCATAAGATAGATGACCCCAGAGACCTGGGGTTTAATCACCCCAAGGCTCCCCTGGAGCAGAACACAGTAAGCACCGATTCCATCTTCAGGCAGCCCTTGAGAATGTGCATTAACACAAAACACTAGAAACCAATGGTTTCTGTATTGTGCAAGCCCTGAGCCAACTGCACTCCACAATAACCCCAGGCCATGCCATCAACCCCTAGGTTCACAGCCCCAGTACTGCCAAGAAAGAAAAAAATCCCTTAGGGTTGGACTCGGTAGCTCATGCCTATAATTCCAATTACTCAGGAAGGAGAGATTGGGAGAGGCTAGCCCAAAAAGTTAGTTGAGACTCCATTTGAACAAAGTAAGTTGGGCATAGTGGCATATGCCTATGTTGCCAGCTAGTAGGAAGCACTGATAGTAGGATGCTGTCTCTAGGCCAGCCTGGACAAAAATACGACCCTGTGTGAAAAATAAAGCAAAAGGGCTGGGAAGGTGGCTCAGTGGTAGAGTGCTTGCCTTGCATGCCTGAGGCCCTGGGTTCAATTCCTCAGCACCACATAAGAAAAAAGCCAGAAGTGGTGCTGTGGCTCAAGTGGTAGAGCACTAGCCTTGAGCTGAAGAGCTGAGGGACGGTGCCCAGGCCCAGAGTTCAGGCCCCACAACTGACCAAAAAAAAAAAAAAAAAGAAAAAGAAAGCAAAAAAGGTCTAGGGGCCTAGCTCAAGGAGTAGAGCAACACAGATCAGAAAAAATACATCAAGTTGACGGACAGAGTTAACTAGTACAATCACTCACACCCCTCGAATCACAGCTCCAAAGACTGGCAGCAGATTGGTGAAGTTTCTTGTGATGGAAGCTGAGAAAGCACCAAACTCTGTCTCAGAGCTCAGCCACTTCCAAGGGACTCCAAGATGTGCACTGCCATGGCCTTCCCAACAGCTGACACCTGGGCTGCGCTAAGGCAAGAGCCGCAAACCACTCGTCAGTACACAGTGGAGGTTTTCCTGCTCAAACTGGAAGAAACAAGGTGTGGAAGTTAAAATGCTTCTTCACTGCAAGGATCTCTGAAGTGTTCGCTAGCTTCTAGGCATGGGCGCCAGGGCAGGTAGAGCCAGCTCTGCTCACAGAACATGCCTGGAAGTCATGCACCAACAAACCCCACAGCTCCCCTCCCAGCACAATCTCCCCTGGATACTGACTCCCCCCGCCCCCCAGCATTCCATCAGGATGGCCCGTCAGTGGTTCTGAGCATGTATCTCCCTCCCTGGGCTACACGCAATGCCCACCACACTACACTGGCATCCATCCTGCTACACACATCTTGTTTTTTCCCTCCCATCTGCCACTCTCCTCTCCCTTGAGCTTCTTGTCCTTCAAGACTGTGTCCTTTTCCCTTCATTGGCCTTTCATGACCTGATGTAAAACAGCCACAGGAATCTACATTAACCCCTCCACACATATCTGTCACCTGAACTCTCAATTTCCTATTCACTGGCTGACTCTCCTACAACCAGTTCTGCATCAACTAACTGTATCAACTCCAGTCAGTAAAACCCTCTTTTTGGTCTTGGCCAGCTGGCAACAAGTCTCTTAACCATAGCAGTCAAAGAATCCTGATGGGCTCACAGCTCCTCAGCAGCAGGCCCAGGCCCAGGCCCAGGCTGGGATTCCTGGTAACCAGTGCTTGACCTACCCTTCCCCCCCCTTCCCCCACAAGCTCAGATCTCTGGTACAGACAGACACAGGGGGCTTATTGTTTTCTTTTTTTAATGAAACTATATCACTGCTTACAAAAACCTGAACAAGCCCTCTTGCCCGCCCGCTTCACAGTTCCCATGGCTCAGCCTGTGTCATGGGAACTGAAACAAAGGGAGTATGGAATAGCTGTCACCACCAGGGGAGGCTCCAGGTTCCAATCCTGAGCCTTTCTAGGATGACAGCTCCGCCGATGTCATGTCTGAGCCTGTGGAGCCTGGAGGCTGCATGGATGAGGGTGTTCCATGTCCCGTGGCTCTCAGGCCATTAACCAGACCAGAGTGAAATGGTATGAATGTTCCCACCTCACATCCCCCCTCCCCCAAAAAGGTGCCCCCCCACTCCCTTCCCCTCTAACTCTAACCCACTGCTGAGATGAGGCCCAGCTACTGTAAGAAGGCACAGGGCCTACAGGCTGTAGAACTTGAGGCTTCTGTCCATGCCGGTTGAAGCGATGAACTTGGCGTGGTGTCCGAAGGCCACCCCCGTAGTCAGGCCACTGTGCTCTGGGGAGAGAGGTAAGAGGCAGGTGTAAGAAGGCTTGTCCCTGTCTTCCTTTAGGGCTGGCAGTATGGAGCTCTAGGTGTCACCCTGCCAGTACTTAGCACACTGCACAGTACTGCTAGTTTATGTAGTCCCTGGCCAACTAAAGGACAGAATCCTGCTCACCGCTCCCCTCCAGTGCCCCAGCACCTGCACAAAGCAAGCACCCCACTCTTCACTGGCAGCATGAATGAGTATAGGAATGTCAGTCCCCCTTTTTGCCCGCGTTTTCTAGGTAACAAATTCATTTCAGCTGAAAACCCTGGTGTTCATTTTGCTGGTTTATGCTTAGCTGTAACTTCTTGCTTGTAACTGGAGAGGCCTATGAGCTTCTTGGTCCTCAAGAGGCTCCAACCCCAGGGCAACTGGGCCCCAGAGAACACTGGGCCAATGACAGCTGAGGCTAAGCAACCTTCCCTGTGGGATCAAATTCCTTCTAGATTTCAGATGACATGTGGAACCCACCAGCTCCCCCTGAAAGCCTGCCCAGGCCCCCTAGGCTGCCACTCTACCCAATGCAGCTCCAAAGCACAACTCTGGACCTAATGTGGAGCTGAAGCCATGGGCTTCATAATTGGGCTCTGACTCCTTTGGAAGACAGATACACTGAGCAGGGCTAGGAAAATATGAGGAGTGAAAAACAAACAAACTAGAATCTTGCCTGCAACCTGCTAATACATTTCATCACTAAAAGAAGCTAGCCTTTATTCAGCATCTAAATGGCTTGCTGCCATGCATGCAAGCTCCATACCATCAGCTGACACACTGCAGAGCCAAGAACCCCACGTTGAGGATGAAGCAGCTAAAGCTCTGAGGTCAAGACACAACCCCATGTTCACAGAACTGTAAAGTAGGAAATCTACTTAGGCACTGTAGTTGAGTAAATATTGTACTGAGCTCAAAGACAGAACATTTGCCTAGCACACACCAAGCCCCAAGTTCCACCCCAGCTACAAGAAGAGAGAAAAAGCAGCAGCCTGGGCAAAGCTATACCAAGCCCAGAGCTTCCCACAACCTTAGAAGCTCAGGGCCAGCCCTACCTGTAAAGTGAAGAATCTCTGTCCACTGTTTGCAGATGTAGATCTGGACATCTGTGCCTCCAAGGGCCAGGTAGGTGCCACTCTGGTCAAAGATCAGTGACTTCACCTGCCAGAACCAGAAAGAGAGATTAGCCCACAGGGAACAGGAAGTATGGGGCAACATGCAGAAGGAGCTAAGTTAGTTCAGCAAACAATCAATCAATAGGGAGAAGTGAACAAATGCTGGGGAGGGGCATACCTCAAAGTTGTTGTCCAGCTGCAACGTCTTGAAGTTCTTAAGCTTACGCAAGTCCCAAAGCTTGACAGAGGAGTCGTCAGCTGCTGTGGCCAGGTAGTAGCCATTCTCTGAGAAGGCGATGCTGGTGATAGGACCTGAGTGGCCAGGGAAGTTGGCCACATTGGTGCGCTCCTACAGGTGTGGGGTGAGTGATAAATAGGTCACCCACTGCTCAAGAGAGGAAAGGAAGCAAACTCCTACTTCTGAAGCCTGCATCATTTAGGAATGGTGTGGACAGCCCAACCCAAGGCCCACAAGCACACACCATAATATACCACACACAGCTACCCATAGCAACACCCCAAGAGCCTGATGCCATAATAATTAGATAATACTTCTAACCCTGAGCTCCAGATTAAGGTGTATCTGTGTCTCACCTTTAAGTCCCAGATCTTGATCTGAGAGTCCATGGTTCCTGTTCCAAAAATGAGCCCATCAGGGTGGAATTGCGCACAGGTGAGAGCTGTGGAGAAGGGAGATGACCTGTGCTCAGCATCCTCCAAGAGAGACTAACAGCAGCCAAGGCTGCCCCTTGTTTCCTATTGTACCCAGCAGCACTAGGCAGGTACAGTGGTCAAAGTGTTCTTCAAAACAAATGACAGACAGCAAACAAAAGCACCCAGCCTCTGAGGTAACTTACAGCAGCCAGAGGCCTCATCTGTCACCTTGGTTAGCACACGCCCCGTCTGGATGTCAGAGAAGGCCCAGTACTAAGAAAGAGAGACAAAGAAGCCAGTGAGAAAATGGGTCCCCAGAGTCTGGTGGCCTTCAGAGAGCTCATGGTATAGCAAACCCTGGCAAAGCTAGCTCCTCCCGCACAAAGTAAACTGTATCCCAGGAACTGGCTGTGGTCAACAAGATGCCCCTTCCTCCAGGAAGTTCCAGTTCAAGGACCTGGCTGGAACCGCACCTGGTCATCAGAGGAGCTCAGAAGATAGTCACCAGTGGCATGGAGACTGAGGCCTGTGACAGCGCTCTCGTGGGCGCGAACAACCTGGACACATGAGGTGTTCGGGACTGACCAAATCCGGATAGTGGCATCTGGAGAGGCAGAAAACACCAGTTCCTAAAAGAAAAGCCAAAAGACAAAACATCAGAGGCCAAGAAGAGAAATAGATTAAACAGTCTTGTACTAATGTAAGCTAACTTAACCAAACAAATGTAAGCTAATTTAAAAACAAAAACAAAACAGTCTTTCACACGGAAACAGGGATGGCCACAACCACAAACTGCTTCTCCCTTCAGCTCCATCCAGCCAGGAACCACCAAGGCAAACAATGCCTAAGAGAGCCAACCTGAAATGCTACTTTAAACGGTCAGGCAACATTAAGCTTTGTGGTGGCCTTGCCACCTGGTGGCAAAGAAGGTAACTACCACGGACAGGTACTTCCAACAGATTTCCATGGCTAGTGAAACTGAGGAATAGAATTCTTTATTTAGTTTGCCACGTGGAGCAGGTATTTCAGCGAGAGAGAACTTCCAGTGTTTACTTACCATTGTTTTGGTAAAAATATTTGGTTAGGAAGTTAAGTCACAAGATATAACTGCCATCTTTTTTTTTTTCGGGGGGGGGGGGGGGGGGGGGGGGTCCGGTCATGGGGCCTGAACTCTGGGCCTGGGCGCTGTCCCTCAGCTCTTCAGCTCAAGGCTAGCACTCTACCACTTGAGCCACAGCGCTACTTCCAGCTTTTTGCTTTTTGCTTACGTGGTGCTGAGGAATCGAACCCAGGGCCTCAAGCATGCAAGGCAAGCGTTCTACCACTGAACCACCTCCCCAGCCCCATAACTGCCATCTTTTGACAGTCAATTTGACAAAACGCATAACTACTACCACCAAGTAAACAGAAAAAGTTAATCTGAATGAAGTTTCAGTTTAATAAAAAATATGCTTGCTATTCTTCAATCTCCTACTACCCAAGGTCAAGAAAAAAGCATCGTTGTCATGCACAGACCAAACTGCCCTATAACTAAAACTCAAATTCCATGGAGATGATTAATCTGGCCTAATGAGCTCTTTTTATTCTGAAAGGTTATCCAGAGGTTCTCATCCTTCTGAAGCCACCTCAGTGTCAACAGTCAATGTTTAGTTTAGACCCCTTTCCCTGAAGGAAGCATGAATCTATCTTCCTCAGACATCTATCAGCTGTCTTCTGTAGTTTATATTAATGTTTCGATAAACACACCTTGTCAAATAGCATTGTGTCTCTCCTGCTGGCTTCAAGACTGCTGTCTTAGGACAGCCTTCATGGAGCGCAATCTCTGTACTGAAGAGGCCCATAAATACCCACTTGTAGTGAGAACTTCCTCTGCTTTACTTCACCAAAGAGACCCTAAGCCTCCGAGATAAGGTTCAGGAAAGATGAAGCACAGATGGCCAGGAGAACTCACCTGAGAAGGGTGAAACACCACACTGGTGACTTTCTTGGTGTGGCCTTTGAGAGTGGCCAGGATTTGCTCAGAACTCTTATCAAAGACAACAACGTTTTTATCTGCACCTCCTAGAGAAGACCCAAAAGAGACCAACCATCAGTACACTGATCCCTTTGCAGAAGAAGGTCATTCTGTTCCCAGGACCACAAAGAGGACCAAGCCCACAGACTCACCAGTGAGGATCTTGTTGGTATCGGAGGGACAGAGATCCAGGGCAAGGATCCCAGGAATGCTGGCACTGTGCAGCCCCTTTACAGAGAGAACCACGAAAAATCCAGTTATGGCCAAATGGAGGCAGACCAAAAAGCTATACAACTCCCCCACTTCCAATCATCTCCCCAGCCAGGCAAACAAGAGTGACTTTTATTCCTTATCTATTTAGTTTGGCTTTCTGCCTGGAGCCAGCAACTTGCTCATTGTATTACTGGGAAATGCAGAGCTAAGCAGGCAGACTGGCAATTCAGTATCCAAGATGAGGTACAAGTCCACAGCCCTCGACAGCTTTTCATTCACAACTCCCCATGCTACCTTTGTCTCACCAGACTGCTGGGAGCTTGTCTCCAAGTTAAGGGGGGCCCCAGCCACTTACCACGTGGGATGCCACCTGCCGGTATTTGCTGAGCTCTTCTGGCTTCACCAGCTCCTCAGGCACAGTCTTCCCTCTCTAACAAAATGCAATTCCCCCCAAAGAAAAGCAGCAATGAGTACCAGACTCAATGACACTCTCTTCCCCAAGAAGCCAAGTCTCCTCCAGCTCTGAAAGGACTTACCTTCTTACGCTCCGTGGTCAGCACAGTGGCCTTGTCTTGTAGCTGTGGGAGAAAAGTGGGAAGGCTCAATGTGAGACACATAATCGTGCCAGCACACCAGATGCTACCCACATCAGGATTTTCTCCCACATCACTGAGTTCTACGTTGAAGGTAAACACTTTTCTTTACCCTGGCCTCATATGAGGCAAGTGTTCAGGACTTATTTCACATAAGAGTAGCTGGAACCGCAAGGAAGAGAAGTCACCTGCCCAGTGCACAGAGGTAATAAATGGCACAGGGAAGACACCCTCCAGCTCGGTGAAACTCTCAGATTTATGCCCCATAGGTGAGAACTTGGATTCATGGGCACACCTGAGCAGCTCAGAAATACACTATCAAGCCCCATGAGGGAGGAAGGGCCCTAGGTTGGAATCAGAAGCCCAGCACTGTCTTCTACGCTATGTCTTTGAATCTCTGTCTCAATTCCTCATCCATAAAGATAAAAATTCCAAGCCGGCCGCGCCGGTGGCCCACCCTTGTAATCCTAGCTACTCAGGAGACTGAGATATGAGGATCTCGGTTCAAAGCCCGCCCAGGCAGGAAAAGTCCATGAAACTCTTATCTCCAGTAAACTGCCGGAAAACTGGAAGTGGCACTGTAGCTCAAGTGGTAGAGCACTAGCCTTGAGCTGAAGAGCTGAGGGTCAGTGCTCAGGCTCAGGTCCAGGGTTCAAGACCCATGACCGACAAAAAAAAAAAAATTCTATCCTAACAGGAAAAAACCATGAAACATAATGCAGTCTAGTATCTGCAAAGAACTCTCATCTGAGCAAAATGTATTGATTATCAGTAATTAAATTTCTCCTCCAGGCCTACAAAGGAGGTACTGTTGTTCCCATGTTAGAAGCAAGAGGAATGAGACACAGCAAGGTTGGCTAAATGAACAATAGGCATAAAGCTTATAAGCAACAGCACCAAAATACAAGTCTGGGCAACCTGGTCCCAGAATCCATCTCTGCTGTACTCCATGCTCTTCCCCACGCAGATTTATTATTGCCAATGGACCCAAGCCAGGTGATAAAAAGTGGGGTTCACGCCAGGTGCTGGTGGCTTACACTTGTAATCCTAGCTACTTGGGAGGCTGAAATCTGAGGATCGCAGTTCAAAGCCAGCCCAGGTAGGAAAGTCCGTGAAACTCCAATAAATCACCAGAAAACCAGAAGTGGCTCAAATGGTAGAGTGCTCGCCTTGAGCTGAAGAGCTAAGGGACAGCACCCAGGCCTAGAGTTCAAGCCCCCGACTGACCCAAAAGAAAAAAAAAAAGTGGGGTACACGACACTCCCACCATGTGAGAGCATGACTTACCTTCTGGATAATCTCGGGAGTCATTCCCACCAGCTCGCCCAAGTCCATGGGCTCACCTGCGCCCTGCAGAGAAAAGAGGCAAGGGTGAGAAACGCAAGAACACTGGAGACAAGGTGCTCTCCTGCTCTGCACAAGAAGAGCTATGTGGAACACTGCACACAAATGGCTGCTGGCAGGTGGGGAATACTCACCACAACACTGGGCTGTGAGCTCGGCACAGCTTGCGGCACGATGAGACCAGCTTGTGGTTTCAGAGTAGCCAGAGCTGCGAGAAAAGACAATGTTAGAAAGAAGCCGTTACGCAGCAGGGTCTATCGCGGGTGGGGACAAGCCGCACCTTCTCGGGCAGCAGTGACCTCCTTGGTGAGACGGGCGATCACACGGCAGGCAGCATCGTGCTGGTAGAGAGCGTGGGACAGCTCCTGGCGGGTCGTCTGCAGCTGCTGGCGCAAGGTAAAGCTGTGCAGCATGACAGCATCCTGGGAAGGGAAAGGTCACTGGGAGGGGGAAGGGGTCAGCCCCTGAGAAGAGATTGCCTTCTATGCTGAAACCAACCAGAGCTGTTCAGAGAACCAAGCAACACCCAGGGACCCTGGATGCAATGGCAGACAAACACCCCGAACTTCTGCCCCATACAAGTGAGCACACAGACACAAGTGGGAGCCGCCTCCCACTTTCTCTGATTTCCCAGCAAATAGTTATGTGTCACCTCTCTAAGAGTAACACTGCTGCCATTTTCACTATGTGAGGGACTAAACCAGATTCATTCATTCACTCATTCGTTCACTTATTTAGTGCTGGTACTGGGGCTTAAACTCTGGGCCTGAGCACAGTCACTTTTTAGTTCTGGCATTCTACCATTTGACTCACAACTCCATTTCTGGCTTTTTGGTGGTTAATTGGAGGGAAGAGTCTCACAGACTTTCCTGCCCAAGCTGACTTCAAACCTAATCCTCAGGTCTCAGCCTCCTGAGTAGCTAAGATTACAAATATGAGCTACTAGTTTCTTGACTTTATCCATTCACGTGCCAGGTGTTCCTATTAGGCATGAAAAAAAATCCCTAAAGTGAAAAGTTCCTATTTTCTTTTTTCCCCATAAAACCGAGAGACACGCATAATCTATTTTCTGTGGTCAGGAAAATCAGGACTAAGAGACTGAGCAGCATGTCTAGTCACATAGTTAGTAAGCAACAGAGCAAAGCTTGGAGCCCAGACCTGCATGATTTCAACAACCAGGCCCCTCCTGTGCTACCATCCTGCTCCTCAAACAAGAAAACAAAGCTGCTAAGAAAACAAGGGTACAAGCTGGGTGCCGGTGACTCACGCCTATAATCGTAGCTACTCAGTTATCTCCAATAAACCGCTAGAAAACCGGAAGTGGGGCTGTGGCTCAAGTGGTAGAGCGCTCGCCTTGAGCTGAAGAGCACAAGGACAGCGCCCAGACCCAGAGTTCAAGCCCCATGACCAAAAAAAAGAAAAAAGAAAACAAGGGTGCAACCAGATGCTGGTGGCTCAGGCCTGTAATCCTAGCAACTCAGGAGGGTAAGATCTGAAGATTGTGGTTCCAAGCCAGCCTGGGCAGGGAAGTCTGTGAGTCTCTTATCTCTAATTAACCACCAAAAGACCAGAAGTACAGCTATGGCTCAAAGTGGTAGAATGCTAGCCTTGAGCAAAAAAGCTCAGGGACAGTGTCCAGGCCCTGAGTTCAAGCCCTGGGACCAACACAAACAAAAATAAAAAATAAATAAGGGTGCAATTAAATGGTAGAGCACTTGCCTAGCATAAGCGAGGCCCTCGGTTTGGTCCCCAGTAGAAGAAATGGAAGAAGGAAGGAGAGTGAGGGACAGAAGGAAACAATGCTCCATTCTTCTAGCCCACAGGTGGCAGTCCAGTGATGCACTCTACTAGAGTGAGGAAGACAGAGTCTCTTCCAGGAACTCACCCACTCATCCTGCAAGGCTTTCAGAATGGCTGGGATGCTGGTAGCAGAGGGAGGTTTGGGCCGGATTGGGTGAGCAACTGCCAAGAGAGGGAAAAAAGGTATGAAGAACCACATGACCCAGACTCATCCCATCCCCTACTGCCTTTCACTTTAGCCACTGAGAGCCATTATCAGCTCCTGCATGAGACCAGCTCCACCTGCCACCCTCCCAAGCTGAGCAATGATGGCCCTCAGTAGGCACCTTTGATGTCAATGAGCTGCTCCTCCGAGAGAGGCTGGTTGTTGATAGGGTCTGTACCATTCTCTGCAATGTACTTCTCAATGAGCCGCCGCTCATACACATGATTAGAGACAGGGGACACACATGGATGCTCTGGCACTTCATTGGAAACTGCAGAGGAAAGCAGGTAGTGAGCTTACGGGGAAAAGGAAACTTGGGCCTAGAGGATTCTTCATCTGGCCCTAGAATGCTTTCCACCTACTTAACTGTTTTCTCCATTAACCTCCTGACAGCAAGGGAGTCAATAAATGATTACTAATACAACTATGTGCCAGGTATATATATAGATGGCAGTCAATAAGCCCTGCCCATCTCATTTTTGAACAGAGATATCTAGGCACATCATGGAGATAGAGATGTCACTCAAATCGCAGCCATCCACCTCAGTCTAAAGCTCTGGATGAATCATCAGGGAAATGTCAAAGCAATGTGACAGGCACTATATTAAGCATGTTCAGTGTTTACTAGGTGCAGATCATGGCTTTAAGCTCTTCAGACAAGATCATGAGCCCTTGAGGACAGGGATTTCAGCTGGTCTCTGACCTCCGGTATAATGCAGATACCCAGAAGGCACTCAGTAAACAGCTAGATGGTAAAGGAATGAGTGCTTGAATACTGGGGCTCAAAAGATGATACCTCAAAGTGTGCAGCTTTTGCATGTTGTGTACACTGAACTAGTAAGAGACTAGAAGGCCTCATAGGGAGGATCAGAACTCTTGGCCCTCCTGTCCTTGGGGCTTTCTTGAAAGTTCCCATAACCAGAAAAGGCAGGCTAACCTCTGCAGGAGAGTGAAGGCCTTCATACTCCAAGGTGTACCTAGTGTTTTGAGGCTGCTTGAAAAGTTTTTACTACTTATGAGGCTTTTTATCTGCACAAGACAGTTTTTATTTCCATCTAATTCTCTTCACCCTGTCATTACTTGTCACTACTATGTCACCCTTCCATAGCCCCAAGCTTCCATTCTTTTTGTAGTTCATGGTGCTCTATGAACTCCCCTTGTTAAATTGAAGCCTCCTATTTCAGAGGACTCCTGTGCCGACCTATGTAATGAACTATAGTCTTTCTCCCGTTTATCTGCCTGCTATCAGTTCATCTTACAGACTCAATCAAGGAATCAAGATACTGTTTTCCCTCCCCTACAAGAGAAAAGTTAGTGCTGGGCAAATAAAACTAAGCTAACGAGCTTTTAGAAAGAAGCCATGCGGGCTGGGAATGTGGCTTAGTGGTAGAGTGCTACCCTAGCCATGCATGAAGCCCTGGGATCGATTCCTTAGTGGCACATAAGTGGCGCTGTGGCTCAAGCTTTGAGCACAGAGAGGCTCAGGGACAGAGCCCAGACCCTGAGTTCAAGCCCCAGGAAGGGGGGTGGAGGGGGAAGGGAGAAAAAAAAAAAGAAACCGTGCAAGTGTAAATAACTTTGTAAACTATAATTTTTTTCAGTGTGACCCCTTTTCTGTTTATTGTTTCCTTCCTTTACGTCTTTGGATTAAGGGGGACGGAAAAGGATGGGGAAGCTAGTAACCTGGTGAAACATGAAGAAAGGAAAAGACGTGTATGCCAAAGAGTAACAGGCAAGTGAAAAACCATGGGTTTAGGGCCATGGGTTTAAACCCTGAGTTAAGGGGATTCTTGGGAAGATAATGGGATTATAGTCTTGGAAGCGTGTGGCAAACTAATAAGGGGTTTATAAATGGGCGTTGTTTGTGTCAAACACCCGAACCCCAGCCGCTATCTGCTTAGAACTCGTCGTATGAGCTTTACGAACGGCACAAAGCTCAGATTACCCAGGCGAGGCCTCCTCACACAAGCACCCGGGGCCAAGTACTTTCAAACTCTCCGAGGGGGAAACCGAGGCCCAGACCCTGGAACCGAATCTCGCGGTTGGGAGACGGGTCCCGACCAGGTCCTCGCGTTTCCCACAGCAGGAGCCGCTTCCCCGGCGTGGGGTCCCCGCCTGAGCCCCCGTTCCCACTCTGTAACGCCGAGGGGGGCTGGCCTCGAATGACCTCCGCGCCACGACCCTGCCCCGGAGCCGTGCAAACCGCGCCAATGCACCCCGCCACGGGGCGCGGCGGGGCCCGGGAGGCTGACAGGCCGCAGCTCGGCCCCGCACACGCCCCTTCCCGCCTTCGCCCCGACCTCCGGCTCGCCACGGCCGCGCAACCCTCGGGCTCCGCTCTCGGGCCTCCCGCGACCCGCCGCGGACGACACTCACTGGAGCAGATGAGCGACATGGCGCCGCCTCAGCGCTCCGAATCGCCTCACACGGGGCTCCCGGACCAGCTCCCGAGCTTCCACGGGCCACTTCCGGTTCCCCGCGGCTTCCGGGACGCGCGAGCACCGAGCCCGGCGGCCCAGCGAGGCTCGCGCAGCGCTTCACGTGGGAAGGGGGCCGGTGGCGCGCCTCAGCCTTCAACACCTAACGGAAACTGCCCTGTCCCAGAATGCAACCCGGCAGGAAGAGGCCCTCCGCGGAACGCTCGGCTACTTCCGGATGGATTCGGCTTACTCCGGAGCGGGTTCCGGAAGGCAGGAGGCGGGAAGGCGGGCTGAAACTACATTTCCCAAGATACAGTGGGAACTTAAAGGCATAGCAGTTCGGCAAGTTTTAATTTTTAAATAGTTATTGTAAAAGTGATGCACAGAAGGGTTACAGTTATATGTCTGGTAAAGAGTACCTTTCTTTTTGGACAATATCTCTCCTTCCTGAGCTTTTTTTGCTCATGGTTAGCGCTCTACCTCTTGAACCACAGCTCTACTTCCAGCTTTTTGGTGGTTAATTGGAGATAAGAGTCTCATGGACTTTCCTGCCCAGGCTGGCTTTGAACCACAACCCTCAGATCTCAGCCTCCTGAGTAGCTAGTATAACAGGCGTGAGCCACCAGCACCTGACTTGGCAATGCCTTTCTTGAAACTGTATTGCTTACTGGAGGTCGGAACACAATTGTCCTTCAAACTGTTTTGTGTGCCAGAGAATTTCTTTATACCAGCTTGTTAAAATGAAGGTTCTAGGAAATCTCTTAGAAAGTGTGTAAATACTGGCATGATTCTGAGGCAAGCACTTCTGGGCCATCTTTTGAGGGACACAGCTAGACAGCCCCTTAAAGAAAGCTCAATTGAGCCCATGGCCCTTGCAGTGGCTCATGCCTATAGTCCTAGCTACACAGGAGGCTGAGATCTGAGGATTGCAGTTTGAAGCTAGCCTGGAAGGAAAATTCCACGAGATCCTTATTTTCAATTAAACACACACACACACACACATACACACACACACATACACACACACACACATACACACACACACACACACACACACACCAAGTCACCACTTTAGAGACATATCCTCTGAATACCCTAAAGTAGCATCCCTTCAGTCCCCAGTACTCCTTCTAGCTACCCTACTCTGATTTCTCTTATTTACAACACTTACCACTCTCTGGAACTGTCTGTCCCCTTGTGTATGGATTGTATCTGTGTGACCTCCCTCCCCAACACAAAAATGTAAGCTCCAATGTAACAGGAACCTGATCATGTTCATCTTTATATCTCTGGTTTCAGAACAAGGCATGGCCCAGAGGAGGCACCTGATAAAAACGGAATGAAAAGTCTGGGGAACAGTGTGAATAGATTTGTCATGACAATTAGTTACTGAATGTTTGGGGAGGGAGGGAGGGTGACAAGAAACAGCCTGTCTGTAATCAGGATACTAGTTAGGGAGGATGTTTCTTAATTGGTACAGGAGAGATGAATGTTTTGTGTGTGTTTGTGCCAGTTCTGGAAGTTTTTTTTTTGTTTTTTTTTTTGGGTCCGGTCATGGGGCTTGAACTCTGGGCCTGGGCGCTGTCCCTCAGCTCTTCAGCTCAAGGCTAGCGCTCTACCACTAGAGCCACAGCGCCACTTCCGGCTTTTTTCTTTTTGCTTATGTGGTGCTGAGGAATCGAACCCAGGGCCTCAGGCATGCAAGGCAAGCGCTCTACCACTGAGCCACCTTCCCAGCCCATAGTTCTGGAACTTTTATGTCACAGCTCCACTTCTGTTTATTTGGTGGTTAAGTAGAGATAAAAAGTCTCACTGGTCTTTCCTACTCAGTCTGGCTTTGAATAGTGATCCTCAGATCTCAGCCTCCTGAGTAGCTAGGATGACAAGTATGAGCCACCAGCACCCAGATTAAGGAAGTGACACTTTTTGCTGAGTCCCAAAGGAGGATCAGAGTCGTTCCTAAGAGGGAAGGGAGCAGAGGAAATCTCCTCCCCAAGTCCTGTGCCTCCCGGTTCTCTTCAATTTTCTCTAGTTTCACCTGGGCCTTTCAGTGCGTCAAATACAACCATTTTGGCTGGTAACGAAACTTTCCTGGAATGCTTTCATCAGTTCTCTCTCCTTTTTCCCTCCTCTGCCAAGCTTTCCAAAGTAAACGTCAGTGTCATTTTAAATGTTGCTTTCTCAGGAGCCCCTCTGTGGCCTCTGACTGATTTTTTTTGGTGGATAATTAGAGATAAGTCTCCTTAGCTCCCTGTGATTTTCCTCCAAACCACTTCAAAGAACTACTGTCATTCAATTATTTATAAAGAGCTATTTGCTATCCGGGTTTCCTGCTATGCATAAATTCTGCTATGTCTGGCTTATTCTTGCTCTTGGAGTCCAGGAGTGTCACACAATACCTAGGCTGGTTGGACGACAAGCTGCAGGACAGGCTGGGCAGCTTAAGTGTTTGGACATATGATAGGGGGAAAAATGACTTTTGTTTAGGTGGGATCGCAAATCCGAAGTGTATAGACATAATTGGATTGGCAATAGATCATATTTGATTATATTTTATGGCAGTTACCACTTTTGTTATCCTAGCTTCTCAGGAGGCTGAGATCTAAGGATTTTGGTTCAAAGTCAGCCTGGGCAGGAAAGTCCATGTGAATTTTTTCTCTAATCGCCAGGAAGCCAGAAGTGGAGCTGTGGTTCCAGTGGTAGATTGGCAGCCATGATCCGAAAAGCCAATCAAGAGCACAAGGTCCTGAATTCAAGCCCCAGTGGGGAAATTTTTAAAAACTTTGTGCTCTGTCTGGCCATGTGTATCTTCTGCCATGTTGATGTAGTGCCCACCAGATGCCAGTTGCAGATTCTTGAACTTCCCAGAAACATGAATTAAATAAACTTCTGGTTAATAAATTACCCAGGTTATGGTATTCAGTTATAGAAACAGAAAACAGACTAAGACACCTAGTAATTATTGGCCCTGTGTGCCAAGCAGATAGTGCACATGAGCAGTTGCAGAGGTGTCCTGTGTTAAGGGGCTTATGGCTCTGATGGAAGCAGGGAATATCTAGGGTGTAGGGGAAAGGGAACCTCTTGAAGGTTTTTCTGTTTCAAAGGATTTAGGATACAGAACAGAGAAAAAATTGTTATCTATACCCTCTGAAGTTTCAGTAATTTGGTCAAATAACACACACTGACAATGGATAATTAGGAGAAAACCCATTTTAATGACATCTGCCCACTCTCAGTTCCCACAAAATAGGAGACAAAGAAGACCCAGATGAGCAAAGATTTTCTAGCATCCTGAGCTAAAAGATAAGCACTTTTGGCTTCTAGGGAAGATGATGAGAGGGTGAAAAAGGGGAAGCAAATGAATGGTGGATTGAAGTTTCTTTCTCTTGGGTAATAAAAATTGCCAGAGAGCAGCAGCCCTCTGTGACAAAGCCTGTCTCCTTACCTACTAGTTAATCTTCTATGGTAGAAGATTCCCAGGCAGGGCACAAATGACCACTGAAATTCCCCATTAGAGGAGGGGTGTGCCCATCTCTAGGCAGATGAGAGACTTTCAAAGAAAATCTCGCAGCATTTAGGTGGGGGGATAGAGGGATTAGAGGGCCTGGGTTCTGAGCCTGCTTCTAAAGCCTTCCTGTGTCTCTCTACTTTAGCATGCCAAAGTACAATATTTTGGGGAATTTGTTGTTATTGGTCATCTCCCCATTCCCTCCCCCCTCCCCCCAGTCAGCCACTGAGCCATCTTCCCATCCCTAGCTGATTTTTGGAGTACACAAGGATTCTTAAGCAGAAAGGTACATATATAAATGTTAATGGAGTCTTGAAAAAAGAATGGACACACCTTTGTCCCTCCCATCCCTCCCCAAGAATGCTGCTGCTCAGGCAGTATGGGCACACATCAGCCCCAAATCCAGAAACAGTTTCATTTCCCAGACAGATTCATTTTGTGCCATTGGTGTGACAGAGATTAGAGCAGGATAGTGAGTCTCAAGAGTTGCCACCTTGGGCTGGGAGGTGGCTCAGTAGTAGAGTGCTTGCCTGGCATGCATGAGGCCCTGGGTTGGATTCCTCAGCACCACATAAGCAGAAAAAGCCAGAAGTTGCCCTGTAGCTCAAGTGGTAGAGCACTAGCCTTGAGCTGAAGAACTGAGGGACAGCACCTAGGCCCAGAGTTCAAGCCCCACAACAGGCAAACAAACAAACAAATAAAAGAGTTGCCACCTCAAGCAACTGACACTGAGAGTTAGATTAACCAGTCACTATCCTTTAATTCTGAAAAAACTTCTAGAAGATATGTACCACCTAAAAATCAAGAACCTTTGAAATATCTGAGATTGTTTCTTTTGCCCAGATGTAAACTGAAAAGCATATCACAGCAACTGTAAAGTGGCTGTCAAAAAGCTAGGGAATGGAGGTCTAGGATTCTACCAGACCCCATGCTAAGCTAAAGAAAGCCTGTCAGTTGAGAGGGAAGAAGTGATTCGGGTCCAGATGGAGACTGCTGAGCCGCAGGCACATTTGAGGTGAGATGACAGGTGGCCCTACTGGGAAGAGTAGCCTGGGAAGAAGGCAGGTGTTGGAGGAACTGCCTTTAATACTCAAGGATAGGATATCTGTAGCAGCCAATCATGTTGATTAAAAAATAATACGACACTTGGGAATATGCTGGTATTATTAACTTCATTGAAATTTCCAATATCCATTGAAATGATACTCTGTGTGTGTGTGTGTGTACTGGGCTTGAACTCAGGGTCACCACTTGATCCATAGCTCCACATCTGCCTTTTTGCTGGTTAATCGGAGATAAATCTCACAGCTTCAAACGGAGGTCCTCAGATCTCAGCCTCCTGAATGGCTACGATTACAGGCGTGAGGCTCTCACCCCAGGCTGAGATGATACTTGCAGTATCTTACAGTTCTCCCAAGATAAGACACTGAGGCCCAGAAAGAAAGGAAGCCAAGTGCCCGGGATGACCATGTGGGTGTAGGGGTCACCTCATTAAAGAGCCCCGACCAGCCCCCTGCAGGTGCTGGCGCTGGGGTCGAAGCGGGGGGGCGGGCTGATCCCTCGGCTCCAGTTCTGAGCGGAAGGAAGCAAACCTGCAGACCCCACAGGCACGGCGGGCGTGCCAACACCTTTTGTGCTTTTTAGCGCGAAAACGATTTCAAACCCCAGGCGTTGGAACTACATTTCCCACGATGCCCCAGAAGGCAGCATTTCCTTGCTGGAGAATTTGCCCCCAAATAGCCCAGCGTGTGCAGACCTGGATCCGCGACGACACCCACATCGAAGACCTAGTCTACGCACTCTACAGCCTAGGTGGAATCACTTTTTTCCCCCTTTTCCGGCCCGAGACTTCCGTTCCCAGCGGGAACACCGGATGCCAGTCTTCTGGTGGGAAAGCTCGGAGCAAGTATTGTCAAACGGCAGGGGTACGCAGGGCGCATGCGCCCGCCCGCCCCCCCGGACCCGCCTGGAGGCCGTCAGGACTCCACGGAAAAAACCTGCGTGTGCGCATGCGCCCACGGCACCCGCCCGCTCCAGATCCACCCGGGGAGGCTGTCGCGGCTCAGCCAAAACCTGCGCACGCGCAGAGCGCCAACCAACGCCCGGGAGTTCAGGCGCGGCTTTGGTGGCGCGTTTTAGTGAAGTCGCACGTGAAAGATAGCGGTGGCCGGAGATCGGTGAGTGCGCGCGGGGATCCGGGCTGGGAGGCCACACGCGGGACGGGGAGGCGGCCGCGCTGCAGGCAGCACCGGGGTGGAGCCGCAAGTCGGCCTGCAAGTCCGACTGGGGAGGGAGGAAAGGCGGGGGGGGGGGGGTTCCGGACGTCGAGCAGCAGTCGAAGCGATCCGGGGACCGGGGATCCCCGTGGCCGTGCAGCCTGGGGGGGGGGGGGCATTGTTGCTAGGTGACCCGGGAGGCGCCGATTTCCTGGGTGGCCTGGGTTCGAATGCTGCGCTGCTCGGTGATGGGGTGGAAGCGGGGCGGCCGCCAGGTGGGAGAGGGAGGGGCGTCGGTGCTGGGCATTGTTGTGCGACCCCCAGCCCAGGGCCCAGCTTCCCCCGAGGTCTTGGTTCGAGCCCTCCCAGGTTCCCTGAGCTCATGGGCCGAGGCCACATCCCACGCCGGCGACGCCACCGTGCAGCCCTTGGCAGGGGACGCCGCGTTCGAAATAGCACTTGCCACCGACACCCCGTGTCCCGGCGTCCCGGGCCGCAGAGCCGCCCCTGCGCACCCGCCCTGCCCCCAAACAGTTGCTGGGCAGCTGCTGTCGGGTTTAGCGGGGACCGCCTCCCACCCGCCGGGACGGGGACTTCGTTCTCCTCCGTGGTGCCTTCTCTGTGCTATTTAGGATCTTTCTTGCACCCAGCAGTTGTTCTCCTGGTGGCCATTGTATATGAAAATAGCGTTCCTCCCCATGACTATCAGGGCCCTACCCTGGTGGCTTCTTGGCAGCCCTCGGATATTCATGTAACAAGTGTTGGTTAGTCATCCTTCTGTGCTAGGTGCTGGGCATTCCAAGAAGTTAGATGTCAAGACGGAAAGGGACAGTCCAGTTTAGCTGGGAGGCTGACAGATAAACCGCTACGTTACAATGTAATAGAGTAGTGTGTTTGCAAAGTTAGGTGCTACTAAACCGTGGAGAGCTACAAAGCATTTGCAGAAACGTCTTAACTCTTTGTAACAGCTTTGAACCCATGCCAACTGGAATTACATTTGAGGAGGCTGAAACAGATTAAGTAACAGGTATCAAGATGATAGCTTCTTGTTGGTGGCAGAATTGAGCCTGGGATGGAAGTCTTAAGGTCATGTGGACACCGTTACACAGATCTAATCCGGCTTTGTCTGCTTTGCCCACTGGGCCCTGGGTTCTAGGTCCTTTGCAGCAGCTGCATGGTTATGCATTGGAAATCTCTGGAGAAGCTTTATAAACAAAAGCCTGCGCTGGGTCTGTGAGAGACTCTGGGTGGGGTAGACATCCCTTGTTTAACAGGTTGTGCAGGCAATTCTGGTGGACAGAGTTGAGCAGATTGCCAAGAATAGTGATGGGACAGTCAGGGCCAACAGAGGGTACCAGGTCAGCTGCCCCTTCTGCCCCGTAGTGATTTATAGCATGAAAGGAGAGAAAAGAGGAAGGAGCATCGACAGAGGTTTATGTGGCTAGCTCCTCCTCTTCCTCACAGAGCAAACCACAATTGAACATATAACCCCTTCTTAGTACTGTAATAAGTAAAACAGTTTCTTCAGCGGAGCTGGCTTCTCCTGTGCCAGCCGAAGCCGTGTTACAGCTGTCTGAGCAGGAGTGGCAGGTCTTGCCCAACTTTGGCTGATGGTAAAGAATCATCACTCGTAAGCCCAGCAGGTGGGTCATCTGATGTGTGGTCTCCTCAGGGGATTCTAGAGCTTGTTAGTATTTGGCAGGACTTAAGTTCCTGAGGATGAGGAGCATGTCTTACCTAGGCAGTGTGAGGGTGTAGGCAGGCAAAAGGGCAGAACTGAGTTCCTGGGCTCTGGAATGGAGTTCCAGTTCTACTGTGTGATACTGGATGAACTTGGCCTCTCTAAGTCATACTTGTCTGAGTAAAATGAGGGAATAGTATGAACTGAAAAAGGTTGTTCTACAGCTAGGTGCCAGTGGCTCACACCTATAATTCTAGTTACTCAGGAGGCTGAGATCTGAGGATGGTAATTCAAAGCCAGTCTAGGCAGGAAATTCCAATTAACCACCAAAAAAAGTTGGAAGTGGAGCTGTGGCTCAAGTGGTAGAGTGCTAGCCTTGAACAGAAAAAGCATGGCATCTTTCTTACCAAAAGTATTTGAAACAAGCACCAGTGCCTCTCACCTGTAATAGCTACTCTGGAGGTTGAGAGCTGAGGGTTTGAAGTACAAAACCAACCCTGGCTGGAAAGTCCACGAAGGTAAGTTAACCACCAAAAAGCTGGAAGTGGAGCTGTGGCTCAAGTAGTAGAGCGATAGCCTTGAGTGAAAAAGCTCAGGGACAACTCCTTTAAGCCCTGAGTTTAAGTCCCAGTACTGGCATGTGTGTGGGCTTGTGTGAGTACATGCACACGTACGTGAGTGCACACACACACACAGAGTATTTGAAGGATTGTAGATGTAGCTCAATGATAGAGTGGCTACCTAGCATACCCAAGGCCCTGGATACTATCCCCAGCACTATAAACACACACACACACACACACACACACACACACACACACACACACACACACACACACACACACACACACACACACACACACACACACACACACACACACACACCCCTACACTTGATTGGGCCAAAGTGGGAGACAGGGTGGTAGTGGTGGGTCAGAATCCTAGTGCCTGACTTTAACTGGGAAGAAGAGAGGAGGAGCCCTGGTCAGGAAAAGACGCGTGAGAAAGGAACCAGAGTCACTACACTGGTTTGCGGAATGGTCTACTCCAGACTCCTGCTAGACTTGGTTTCTGGCATTCTTCAGAGGGTAGGCTGGCCTCACTATGGAGAGTTTATTTCCAGGTCCTCAGTCTGGGACAGATGGCCACTTGAGGGAGGCTGGCACTGATCACCCTGACCTTTTTTTTCCTGGGGGAGGGACAACATCTGATACCTGCTGCTGGAGGTCCTTGGGTATAGGATCCAACCAAAGATAGCCACCCCACTCCTGAAGTCCCCAATGTGTTTATGTCCCAGAAAGCTCAGGGTCTGACCTGGGTTTGCTTCCTCTCTATTGCTGGCAGACAGGAGCCACCTGGTTCTTGGTTTGTGCCAGGAAGAATAGAAGGCTTTCCCAGCCCCAATGGCTTATGAATTGTGTTAGACAACCCTGCCTGACTGTACAGGCTTACGCAGGGGCTTTGGGTAGCCATTTCTAGGCCAGAAGGCTTTTTTTTTTTTTCTTCCTTTTTTTCCAGGGCTGAGGACTGAACCCAGGGCCTTGTGCGTGCCAGGCGGGCGCCCTTCCGCCGGGCTAAACCCCCAGCCCCTTTTGTTTTGTTTTGTATTGTTTTTCTCTTCTCTCTCCCATCCTTTTCTCCTTTAAAAGGTGGCTGCTGAGTTTTGGCCAACTCCCAGGGGTGCCTTGGTAACTGCAACATAAACTCAGGTGTGTTTGAAAGGGTTGCAGAAAGCCAGGCTAAAAGGCCAAGTTCGAACATCTGGCTCCTTCTACCTTGGAGCTAAGTGGCTTTCTAAGTCAAGTTACTTAGCTTCAGATCACCAGGTCTGAATCACTGAAACTCCCTGGAGCTGCAGGTGCCTTGCAGACCTGCAGAACGGGGGATTTGTGGGTGCTGTCTGGACAATTCACAAGCATGGTGACAAGTAGCAGGTGGACCTGCAAAAGTTTTTCTTGGCTGATCCTCTCCTGCTGCACTAACTTGTCAGGTCTTAGCTTGTCCATGGAGCTCAGAGCCCCAAACGCAAAACACTTAGGTGAATTTTTGCCAGCAATTCACCAAGAAGGCTGGTACATGCCAAGTTTATTTTAGTTCATGAATAATCTTTTTTTTTTTTTTTGGGTCCAGTCGTGGGGCCTGAACTCTGGACCTGGGCGCTGTCCCTCAGCTCTTCAGCTCAAGGCTAGCGCTCTACCACTTGAGCCACAGCACCACTTCCGGCTTTTTTCTTTTTGCTTATGTGGTGCTGAGGAATCAAACCCAGGGCCTCAGGCATGCAAGGCAAGTGCCCTACCACTGAGCCACCTTCCCAGCCCTGAATAATCTTTTATGTGACTTTTTTTTTTTTTTGATGGTCATGGGGCTTCAACCCCAGGCCTAGGCGCTGTCCCTGAGCTCTTTTGCTCAAGACTAGCACTCCACCACTTTGAGCCATAGAGCCACTTCCGGTTTTCTAGTGGTTGATTAGAAATAAGAGTCTCGTGGACTTTCCTGCCCAGGTTGGCTTTGAACCATGATCCTCACTCTTAGTCTCCTGAGTAGCTAGGGTTACAGGTGTGGCCACCAGTGCCCAGTTTGACTTTCTAAGCAACTCTTGAGACCGAAATAAGAGATGGCATAGTAGAGTGGCTGTATGTAAGGAGTCCAATGATGGATCCTTCCTCCATTTTTCCCCTTTGGGAAACAATAGCCAGCCCTATCTGACAGGTAATTGTGCAATTGAGATAAACAGTTCATAAGAAACTTATTAGCTCTGTGTGTGTGCATGCATGTGTATACATGTATATGCACACTCACATACCAGTATTGCAGTTTGAACTCAAGGCCTGGGCATTATCCCTGAACTTTTTTTGCTCAAGGCCAGTGCTACCACAGGTCTACTGGCTTTTTGTTGGAGATAATGTTCCTTCTTGGGTCAGCTTTGAACCTTGAACCTCTAGATTTCAGCCTCCAGAGCAGCTAGGATTACGTCTATGAGCCACTGGCACCAGCCACGTTAGCTTCGTTTTGGGGGGGGGTGAGGGGGGGTCCGGTTGTGGGGCCTGAACTCTGGGCCTGGGTGCTGTCTCTCTTCAGCTCAAGGCTAGCGCTCTATCACTTGAGCCACAGTGCCACTTCTGGCTTTTTTTCTTTTTGCTTATGTGGTACTGGGGAATCCAACCCAGGGCCTCATGCATGCAAGGCAAGCGCTCTACCACTGAGCCACCTTCCCAGCCCCCCACGTTAGCTTCTTAATTCATCATGTTTTTTTCCTTTAAGGTTGTTCTTCAAGCCTTTGCCTATTGGAAGCCAGGCTGTGACACGAGCAGTTGTATTTTATAGATACAGCATTTTGATTCCATCCACATTTCCAGGCTGAGAGCTCCTATAGCCCTTGTCATTTCCCAAGTGACTAGAACAACAAGAATACCTTTTGCTAAAATGTTTTTTTTTTGGGGGGAGGGAGTGGCATAGCTTCCTGAAACATCTTCAGAAGCTGAAGGTAAAAGACAGAGTTGGCTTTTGGGTTGCTTACTTTGTTGTTATTTATAATAAGTCCTCTCAAATGCACCCGCATTTAAGTTAATACGGCCATTGTAGGAAGATTCCTTACATAACCACAGGAAAAAGGCCTGTTCCCCAGAGAGGCAGCCAGGTGCCAATCCTCTGGGGAAGAGGGGCAAAGGATTGAGTGGATCATCAACAGCTGTTTGGAGGATCGAGCCTACAGAATGAAACTTGAGGAAGAACAGGGTTTGGAGAGCTTCATGACCCTGGAACACGTGGAGGCTCCTGGAGGGTGGTGGACATGAATCAGGCCTTGCCGCTCCTTCCACCTTGTCCTATTTAGCTTTGCATTGTAACCAAACCTGAGAAGGGGGTTAGGGATAGGTACTCTTACGCCCAGTGGGTCAGAAGCACAGATAAAACAACCAGGGATTTGTGATTGGCATCTGAAGTTGTTACTGGGCCCAAATCTGCCAGAAGGACACGACTAGATCGAGGTGGTGGCAAGGAAATCAGGGTCAGCCAAAGGCTGACCCTGAGAAGATGGAGGGATGATTGTCCTTCCAGGTCCAGCTTTAGGGAAGGAACTCAGATATGGAAAAGGGACTTTATAGGGAGGGAGAGGTGTGGGGTGCAATGGGCAGTGTGTTCAATGGGGTCTTCTCATTCAGTGTATGCAACTTTTCTTTACCCAGAACATACAATGAACCTTGATTTCCTGGGTGTACTGCCTGTAGTTGTTGAGGAAGACATACTACTTTTCTGAAAGCTTGATATCATAGCAGCATATGTACATTCTGTTAGTTGGACTATTTTTTTAATTTTTTATTTATTTTTGTGTTTATGTGGTACAGAGGAATCGAACCCTAAGCCTCATGCATGCCAGACAAGCACTATACCACTAAGCCACATTCCTTGCCCGTTAGTTGGACTATTATACAGTCCAGTGTGAACTGGATGCCAGTGGCTCAGGCCTGTAGTCCTAGCTACTCAGGAGGCTGAGATCTGAGGACCACAGTTGGAAGCCAGACTGGATAGGAAAATTCGTGAGACTCTTTATCTCTAATTAACCAGCAAAAAAACTGGAAGTAGAGCTGTGGCACAAGTCGTTGAGCCCCAGCTTTGAGCAACACAGTTGAGACAAGGTGTCAAAGCCCAACTTCATGCCTTCCTCCACTCTCCCCCCCCCCCCCCCCAAACACTAGAGTATTAGCATCTTAATCATTCAGATGTAACTTCTCCTTAGAATTTCTAATGCTAGGAAAAGGGAAAGGAGTCATGTGGGGATCTTTTATCTTAAACCTAAGTCTCATCCAGACAATACTAGACAATTCCAGGAGAAGCTCTGCTTGGGGCACAGACATGATGCTCCAGGTGGTTCCACTGAGCAGCTTTGGTTGAGAGCCCCTATACACCCTGCCTCCCAACAAGCGTAGCATCTGGAGTTCATATCCTGGCCTTTTGCTTCTTAGAAGTCTCTTCTGTACCAAGAGGGGCCAGGAGGAGAGCAGGCACCTTGTATAATGGCCCTGCAGAGCCAGTGACACAAATGCAGTCATTCTTGTTTGAGCACCCAACCAAGCCCTTGGCTTCACTTCATTGCACAGTGCTAATCTTCTTAGTGTGCTATTTTAAAGGTGCCTTTTATATCAGCTCTGTCTTAAGTAGATTAGAAACTTTGGGGGGATGAAGCCTTGGAATCTTACCATTCTTTTATGCCCATGGCACCTAAGATATAGAAATTAGCCTTCAGATTTATACAAGAATAATTTTTTTTTTTTGCCAGTATGGGGGCTTGAACTCAGGGCCTTGCACCCTTGCTTGGATTTTTTTTTTTTTGGGTCCGGTCATGGGGCCTGAACTCTGGGCCTGGGTGCTGTCCCTCAGTTCTTCAGCTCAAGGCTAGCGCTCTACCACTTGAGCCACAGCGCCACTTCCGGCTTTTTTCTTTTTGCTTATTTGGTGCTGAGGAATCGAACCCAGGGCCTTGAGCATGCAAGGCAAGCGCTCTACCACTGAGCTACCTTCTCAGCCCTGGATTTTTTGCTGGAGGCTGATGCTCTACCACTTGAGCCACAGCTCCACTTCTGGCTTTTGGTGCTTAACTTGGAGATAAGAGTCTCACAGACATTTCTGCCCAGGTTAGCTTTGAACTGTGATCCTCAGATCTCAGCCTGTTGAGTAACTGGGATTGTAGGCGTGAGCCCAGCACCCAGCATAGGAAAGAAATTTTCTTGGTTTACCCCAAGTCATTGAATAATGAAGCACTTTCTGGCTTACTAACATGAAGTGGGAAAGGAAGCAGAAGAGAAACTTGAGAATCAGATAGTAGAACCTAGCTCCAATTGTAAGTTCCAGTTATTCCTCAGCAAGCAGCTCTTTCTTGGTCTATCTAGGGCGTTTGCTGGGTTTAGCTAGGGGGTTTCCTGGGCACAGGGCTGAAGGAAGATGTCGGCAAATTAGCCAGGAATGGGTGTGTCTCCCAGGTCCTACCCTCAGTTTCCCCTGTGCTTCTTTCCTGGCAGGTCCAGTCATGGCAGGCTCAGGCACCTGTTCACCATGGGGCAAGCATCTGCTCAGAGCCATCCCGATGGTCCTCGTGGCCCTAGCTCTTCTCCATTCAGCATCATCCCAGTCCCATCGAGACTTTGCCCCACCTGGCCAGCAGAGAAGAGAGGCCTCAGCTGACCTGCTGACCCAGATTGGCCGGTCTCTGCGGGAGATACTGGATACCTGGCTGGGGCCTGAGACCATGCACTTGGTTTCAGAGGTAAGAACAGTTCTTCTGCTATGGCTGACCATGTACACAGGACAGAAAAGAAAAGACATTACTAAGGCCACCACATCCTCTCTGTGTCATAATCCTGGTGCAGAGAGCCCCCAATTCCACTAAAAGCAGCTGACACCTACAGCTTGTTTTCTTTTTTTCTTTTTTTTTTTTGTCAGTCGTGGGGCTTGAACTCTGGGCCTGAGCGCTGTTCCTCTGCTCTTTAGCTCAAGGCTAGCACTCTACCACTTGAGCTACAGCGACACTTGCGGTTTTCTGGTGGTTTATTGGAGATAAGAGTTTCACAGACTTTCCTGCCCGGGCTGGCTTTGAACCGCGATCCTCAGATCTCAGCCTTCTGAGTAGCTAGGATTACAGGTGTGATCCACCGGCACCCGGCTCTACAGCTTGTTTGCTGTGTTTGATTCCCATGCCGAGGGCCGTTTATCCCCCACCTCTGTCTTTCCTTGGCTATGGCCAAAGGCTGGGAAATGAGCCATCCTTGGGGGAACTAGAGTCTGACTTTGATCGAAACCTGACAGAGCGCCTTAAACAAGCAACACAGAGCCCCAAGTCAGGGTCTTCACTCATAGCAGTGAGTATAGATTGATGGAGACTTATGGCTGGGTCATCTCTTCTAACCAGTGATGTTCTGAGGATGTGTCCTGTCCTGTCAATGCATCAGTTATCAATTGGTCATACTGAAAGGCAGATTTAGTCATTTACAACATCCCGCCATAGTACCGCAATGAACTCCTTTATCATTGGAGCCTCCAAGTCCCTTACAGAGGTCTACACACACACACACACACACACCCCACACACACCCCTCCAGGATTTGCTGGCAGCTTGAGGACTCCAGGTGTATAGGGTGACTCCTGAGTGGATGGATGACCCCTCTCCCTTCACACAGAAGTGCACCCCTTACTAAATGCACAGCATCCCAGCTGAACTAGGGTCCCAGACACCCTGATTTCTAGGTTAGGAGGAAGTGGCCTGTCACTTGGGGAAGTAGATGGGGAAGTAAGTCCCCTGACTTTAACCCAGGCCTATCACTGCTGGCTGGAAAATAGATCAGACCTTCCCTGCAGGCCTCCTCTAGGCTCTGGTGACCAAACGTGGAGGAGGAGAGCCTCATTTAATCCTTCCCAATTCTCTCTCCATAGAGCCTGTCACAGGTGATGTGGGCCGTCTCCTCTGCCATCTCTGTGGCCTGCTTTGCCCTGTCTGGGATCTCCACACAGCTGTTGAATGCCTTGGGCCTGGATGGTGAGTGGCAGAGAACTGGCTAGCAGGCTGGAGTTTCGTCTCTACCCTCCTGTGGGTGGGAATCTATCTTTGTCAGGGGCTAGAGGACACTCCCCAAGAGTCCCTGGAAGTGTGAACAGTTTGTCTTCCCCTCCCCTCCCCTCCAGGTGTCTTATTTGTATAAGGCATTGGGTGAGACTGAGCATCTCCAGAGCTCAGTGAGACAGGACGAATTAGTCTGTTAATAAATGGAACTGAGTCCTAGTTCTTTAATAGCAAGGCAGGAAGAATTACTGTTAGTAAAAGGAATTCAGTTCCATTTATTTATCCCTAGATGCCAGCTAGGGAAGTCATCTGCCTAGGGCCCCAGGGAGTGAGCTGAGATTCAAATCCATGTTTGTGTGTGTGCGTGCGTGCATGTGCATGCATGTGTGCACATGCACGTGCACATGCACTCATACCAGTACTGGAGTTTGAACTCAGAGCCTTATACTCTCTCCTGACCTTTTTGCTCAAGGCTGGCATTGTACCTCTTGGCTTTTTACCGTTTAATTGGAGATAAGAGTCTCATGGATTTATCTTCCCCGGGCTGGCTTCGAGCTATGATCTTCAGTTTTCGGCTCTTAAGTAGTTAGGATTACAGGTGTGAGCCACTTGAGCCTGGCTCAAAGCCACGGCTCTTGAGGCTGTGGGGACTCGGCGAGGGGCTGGCTTCTCCCACTTCTCTGGTTCTTGCTCCTCAGCCTTCATCACTTCCCCAAGTTGCTGACTTTGTCATTCTCTCTTCTAGGTGACCACCTCACCCAGTTCTTGAAGCTCAGTCCTAGCCAAGTCCAGACCTTCCTGCTGTGGGGAGCAGGGGCCCTGGTCACCTACTGGCTGTTGTCCCTGCTCCTTGGCTTGGTCTTGGCCGTGTTGGGGCGGATCCTGGGAGGTCTGAAGCTTGTCATCTTCCTGGCGGGTTTTGTGGCCCTGGTGAGGTCAGTGCCTGACCCTTCCACCCGGGCCTTGCTACTCCTGGCCCTGCTAACTCTCTACGCCTTGCTGAGCCGGCTCACTGGCTCCCGGGCCTCAGGGGCCCAACTGGAGGCCAAAATACGAGGGCTGGAGCGCCAGGTGGAAGAGCTGCGCTGGCGGCAGAGGCGAGTGGCCAAGGCCTCCCGGAATGTGGAAGAAGAGTGACAAGGATGTCCCCAGATGCCACCTTCACCATACCAAAGAGCTGAGCTGCTTCCGGGCTGAGTGGCCCTCCTTGCAGCCCCCCCCACCCCCCCATGCTCTTTCCTTGCCTTTGTGTCTGAACCTTCAGAATCTTTATCCCTGCCTAGCCCCTTGCTGAAGGGGCTGGTCCTCCACGTGAGGCTGGCTGGCTGGGGGTGGGTTTCTGCCCACTCTCTCCTTCCAGCCTGTCTCAGCACAGCAGGTTGGAGGCTGGGGGGCGGGGGGGGTCTCTGCTCCAGCTTCTGCGTCTGCTCTGGCCAGCATCACTGCCACTGGTCTCCCGTGACTTATCTGCCTCTTCTGCTACTGCCTGGCTTCCTCCCCAAACTACAACTCTCCCTCCTTTCTGCTCCTCAGCCACACCTCCAACTCTTAACTTGTCCTTCCAGGCCAGATCCCACCAAACCACAGCCCCTGAAGGCTTGCCCTGTCCCCCTCATTGCCCAGCAAGGTGGGATCTAAGGATAGGGAAGGGGAAATGGGGTTCCTGGAGGCCTGGGGGTTGGGGGATCCATGTACTTTAAATCTGTTACAAGTGCCTTAATCCAAGCCAGCAGAGCCCTCTGCTGACTCACTGCCATACTGTATGTGGGAAATGCTGCTTTGTTCATAACAGAGCAGTCCAGTCTCTTAAAGAATCTGATTCCCCTTCAGCCAAATCGAGAGGCAGCTGCTGCTGTGTAGGCTTTGTCCTGCAGCTGGGGCCCTGGGGGAAGTTCAGAGATCTTGAACGAGATTGGAGGACTCTATTCCCTGTCTGCCTAAGCTGCGAGGTATTCTTTATCCCTGTGGCTTCAGTCCCTGCCACCAAGGAGAAATTACTGACTGGTGCCACCCAGCAGTGGGGAAGAGCACAGAGCGGCCTGCCCATGCTCTGCAGGGCTCAGGAGGCTGCTAACCTCCCCCCCCAGGGTACCTGGGCTCCAGCCACTAGGGGCCTCTTCCTTCCTCAGGGCCCTGGTGTTCTCTAGGCCAGGTTGGGCTCACGATAATGAAATTCTTACTGTTCAGGTTTGATGTGGAATCATGACTGCAGTGATATATATTTTTATCAGCGCTTGGTTGGTTTTAAATAAAGTGCACGCTATTTTATTATCTTGTTCTGAATTTTTTAAAAAAATGTATTTACTCAAAAGTCTGATTGCCTTAATGTCTCCCTCTGCTGTCAGACCCCTTTCTGTGGCATAGCTATGCCATCCTGACTTCTCCACCAGGGGCGCTCGAAGCTGTGAGGAAGGAGAGGGCCGAAAAGGCAGTTGGTAACATGTTACCCACGGGTCCAGGAGCGGGAGGAAGGAGGGAAGTGTGCTCTATTACAAAGCTTCCAGGTCTGACCAGCACTGCTGGAAGGGTGTGTCAGGTGGGGTAGGGAAGGAAGGTACCCCTTCCCTGCAGTGCTGGACTGCTGCTACTCTCACTGGTACCCTGGAAGAGGCATGCCTGCCTTCTTTCCTGCAGGAGGATGGGTTTCCTGCACCTCGTTCTCACCTGCCTGGGGTCAGCTATTTTTGTCAGGACACACATTTTGTTTGCTAACCTGCACCGGGGTCTCTTGCTCGGGACCTTTCTCAGCACCACCTGGGGCAGACCTCCCTGGCCAGGGCTGGCCAGCCCTCAGCCTTCCCCCTTGAGGCCTTTCCCTGGGTGGAGCTGGGCATGAAACCGGAGCTGCCTGCCCCTGGAGCCTGTCTTCCCCAGAGGTGGCCCAGGGCCCTGTCAGGACAGGCCCAGGCCCGTGTCATCTGACCTCATTTGGCCTCTCCTTTTCTGCCCCTGCAGCTCTATTCCCACATGTCCCAGAATTCTAGTTCTGATTCATACGGAATACCTCTGCAGGTTAGATGTTTGTTGGGGAGGGTGGGTGGAGGGAGAGAGCTGAGGCAGAATAAGAGTCTTTTCCTTCTCTGCCAGCAGCCTCGGAGAGGGATCTCCACGGAAGGGGCCACGTGCCTCCTGACCGTGGCGCCCAGTCCAGGTTCAGTCCTCTGGGGAAGTGGCCTTCCTGACCAGGGCCCGGGGATGGGGGCGGGAGGGGGGCGCTCTGGGGCTGGAGATCGGCGGGGCACTAGGACCCGGCGGGGCGGAGGGGGCAGCCCGAGTGTGCGCCGCGCTGCCTCCCACCCCAGCGCTCCCGCTCCATTGTCTGCGAGCTGCGGCCGCGGGCAGCCGGGCGGGCAGCGGCGGTGATAGTGGCGGCGGGGACGCAGCGAGCGGGGAGCGCGGGCGCCGGGCGGCTGCGAGGGGATGCGGGGTCCGATCGCCGCCCGCTGAGCCGCCCGCCTGGTCCCCGCCTGCGGTGGGGAGGTTGTGCGCCTCCGATGGCTGCGCGCGCGTCCCCGGCCCCCGGAGGGCTCCGCGGTCCCTGGCTCTGCCTCCTGGTGGCCCTGCTGGCCTTGGTCATCGAGAGAGGTCAGCGGGCGGGGCGGGGCGGGGCGAGGGGGTGGCGGGGCCCCCCTTCCCAGCCGAGGCTGGGCGCGGGAGATGTCCGCGAGCCGGGCGCGTCGGTACTGGGACCGGACCGGAGCGAGGTCGCTTGGCGGCGCGCGCCGGGAGCCGGGGAGATCCTGCCTCCGGGAGCCTGGCTCTGGCCGCCCGCCTCGTGCGCTCCTTCCTGGCCCGGGGCTGGCCTGGGAGGTAAGGGGGGGGGTCTGGCACATCATCACGCGCCCCCTCTCCACTCTGCCCGCCAGCGTCCCCTCCAGCCGGACCTCTCAACCGACCACCCTGTCCCGGGCGCATCAGCCTCTCCAACTGCTTCTAATCCCAGATCTGGGGAGCTGGACATCCTCACTCCTCAGCCCAGGGATGGAAAGCAGCCCCTTTGCCCTCGGTCCTGCGGGCTGTGCAGCCCCCTCCCCTGCCCCAGATCACTTTCCCACACTGGAGTCTTCAGGGATAACCTCATTATCGCATCTCTAGCTCTTGGGGAGGGGGGGGGCTGGTACCTGGCCCTGGGTAAGGGGGTGGGTGGTGGGGTGACAGATGGACTGGGGCGAAGGATGCCACAGAGGAGTGGGAGGTGGCAAGACACTCTCTCCCCTCCTTCCCCCACCGAGGGAGCTGAGCCCGGTGCTGCGAGTCCGTGGGAGTTTGGCTACTGAGCATCTTGTAATTATGGAAGCCATGGAGTAGGTGGTGGACTGGAATCCAGGAGCTACCCCAGGGGGCAATAGTCATCACCTGTTAGCCTTGGGGACAGCTCACACACATGCTCCTTAGTGGGAAAGGGCCAGAAAAGAGGCTGAAACCAAGTCCCTCTAGCCCCGGGGGCTGAGAGGGAGCTGGCTCTGGCTGCTTCCAGCCACCTGCTCCCACTCTGAGGGTGGGGGGGGGGAGCCCTAATGGCCCCTTCCACAGGGACAAGAAAACCTGGTCACATCCATTATGCAACAGCATCAATCCCATTTCCACAGTTTCCACAGCCCTCCCTGGTCCACAGGTCACCCAATGATCCCTGCCAGTTCTACAGGTATTCCTGGCCATACCAGAATATCCGTGAACAACCCATCTAGTTCGGCGGTGGTAGTAAGGGCAGATTCAGTATTAGCTAAGCTAATTAGGTAAGCTCTTAAGTTGGCAGACAGAGAGATAACTAATTCATTAGAAGCCAGGAAAGCAGTATGGTGTGTCCCTGTGGTCCTAGCTACTAGAGAGACAAACCTAGGAGTCTGAGACCATCCCGTGCAACACTGAGAGACCCTGGCTCCAGAAAAAAGAGGGAGAGGGAGACCAGCAGGGCTGCCTCAGATGGAGGGGACTGGCCCAAGGGTGAATGATCAAGGAGGACTTCCTTGAGGAGGCCAGATTTACTCTTGACCCTCAAGGAGGAAGGAGCTACCACCAGGTGGAAGAGGAGAAATTCAGTCCAGGAGTGAAGTCCCCAGGGCATGCCGTTGCATCCTGAGGTGGAGAAATAGATGGAGAAGCAGGGTGGTCTAATGGTCAGTGTCTCAGCTGGACTCCCAGCTCCCTCATTTCCGTATGGGACTGCAGGAAGGCCCCTGAACCTCATTTTCTAAATCCACAAAACGGGGTTCATCATGATAGAACCCGAGTCTCAGAGTTATGAAAACTGAAGTGATGTAAGTAAAATGTCTAAAGCAGTGCCTGTCTACGGTTATTGTTAATCATTATAATGGCTCGTGGTAACAAACCAATATGGTCTTAGTGATCCTTTGTCCATTTGGTGATTGAATAATTTATCTCCCTGAGCCCGTGGGTTCCCATCACCAGGGCACTTCATAGACCTCTCTGAACCCCTCCCCCCAAGTCCAACTCTTGCACTCTGGTACCCAATTGGTACAGGAAAGAAGGTAGCTAGGAGGGATAATTTGGGTTGCTATGGTAATGGTGGGGTGGGGTGAGGTGGGGGTAGGGAGTGAAGCATTTGTTTTTTTTTGTGTTTTTTGTTTCTGTCAGTCATGGGGCTTGAACTCTGGGCCTGGGCGCTGTTCCTGAGCTCTTCAGCTTATGGCAAGTGCTCTACCACTTGAGCCACCACACCACTTCCTTGTTTTGTTTTTTTTTTTGGGGTCCGGTCGTGGGGCCTGAACTCTGGGCCTGGGCGCTGTCCCTCAGCTCTTCAGCTCAAGGCTAGCGCTCTACCACTTGAGACACAGCGCCACTTCTGGCTTTTTTTCTTTATTGCTTATGTGGTGCTGAGCAATCGAACCCAGGGCCTCATGCATGCAAGGCGAGCACTCTACCACTGAGCCACCTTCCCAGCCCCCTTGTTTTGTTTTTTAACTGCATAGGCATTATATGGGGAAAGTCATGACCCCCACCCCCATCCCAATACCCTAATACCATAGTCAAGGAGAGACAATGAGAGATTCAAATCCTGGCTTTGTTATATCCTACCAGTATGAGGTTCTTTATGCATTACCTCATCTATGAAATGGAGAGATCTCCCTACCTTCTTGGGGGCGGGGGGGGGGGAGGATGGGATATTTACAGTGTAGTTCTTCCTTCACTACCTGCCACCACCATCTCTATGTGTGTGTGTGTGTGTGTGTGTGTGTGTGTGTGTGCGCGCCAGTGATGGGGCTTGAACTCAGGCTTTGCTCTCTCACTTGGCCTTTCACTCAAGTCTGGCGCTCTGCCACTTGAGCAATACCTCTACTGATTTTTGGCTGGTTAATTGGAGCTAAGAGTCTCACAGACTTTCCTGCCTAGGCTGGCTTTGAACTTTGATGCTCAAATCTCAGCCTTCTGAGTAGCTAGGGTTACATGAGCCACCACTGCCCGGCCATCTCTACCCTTCATTCCTCTCCAGTGAACTGTGACCAGGCCCACCAGGACCCCATCTACCTGCCAGTGGCCCTGGAGCTCCTGGATACCCCTGAACATTTTCGCGTGCAGCGGGTAGGCCACTACCCACCTGCCAACTCTTCTCTGAGCTCCCGATCTGAGACCTTTCTGCTCCTGCAGCCCTGGCCCAGGGCCCAGCCACTTCTCCGGGCCTCCTACCCACCGTTTGCCACCCAACAGGTAAGGAGGGGCAAACAGGACTCAACCTGAGATCCACCGTGTGCCTGGCTCAAGGGCTTTCCCCAGCCTCTCTTGTGCTCTTTATTTTCCTGACAGGGAAAAATGGAGGCCCATAAAGGTTGGGAATAGAAGTTTCTCATCCCAGATGTCCTCCTGCCCTTCTATGCCACTCTTCCTCCTTCTTCCTCCAGGTGGTCCCTCCCCGTGTCACTGAGCCCCACCAACGGCCAGTGCCCTGGGACGTGCGGGCTGTTTCAGTAGAAGCGGCTGTGACTCCAGCAGAGCCCCATGCCCGCGTCCTCTTCCACCTCAAAGGACAGGATTGGCCTCCGGGGCCTGGCAGCCTGCCCTGTGCCCGGCTATATGCCACCCACCCTGCAGGCACTGCCCACCGAGCCTGCCGCTTCCAGGTGAGTGGGCTGGCCCCACTGCTGTGCCAGCCAGTGGTTGCCCCAAGGTGCAGAGGAAAGGCAAGTCTGGGTTGTGAACCACCAGAATCCCTTTCTGCTCCATTCAGTGTCAGTTAGTCCTGAGAAAGGATTAGTGAGGGCCCTTTAAGAAGTCTGGGACATGTGTGTGACTTTGAGCAAATAGTCTCTCTG